ATTGTTTTAAGTAAATCCATCCGTCTGACCCGACTCCTCTGCTCCCAGAAGGTTCAGTCTCATTATTTGTGGAACTTTAAATTCCATGGGGATAGGCTGTTCTTACAAAATTGGGTTGAAATCTGCTGAGTAGTTTGGGAAAATGTTATTTTTCTAAAGCAAATCAGTTTTCTGAACACCATGCCTCTGCCCTTGGGAGGGTCAGCCAGGGTCATGAACTAAGTCGCAGGTTGGTTGCAAAGTGCCAATTAGCTAGGACGATGATAACAAATAGGTAATTTGATTTCTTTTGACTTCAACACTAATGAAGGTGAAAAACACTGTGAAGCAGGTGAGCTTACAATGTCGCATATCAGGTTCATACAACAGGTTCAAACTAATCTCTTTGGTTGGTGTCTTATTTAGGTACTTCCTGAAGAGTTCATGTTACCATACTGGTCACAGAAGTTGATGTTGCTAAGTAATTCTTCCACCCTTCACAGGTGTGTCTCCTGTTTTAGCAGGGGAAGATCAGCTTGTCACCCCCTAGGGGGAGATAGCCTCGTGCCAATTAGCAAGTGTTCATTAAAATGCGTCATCAGTAATTGTGACGTCATCAAAAGTGAATGAAGATATGCATACCCCACATGTGTTTTTGTTTACAAACATGGCAGACTACGGTCAGTGGAGTTGTGACTGAAATTAATAAGATGGGAAAAAAATAATCATCCCCTACCTTGAGAGTGTAACAGAGAAATCTCCAACCCTCAGGGTGATATTTTTTGGTTGTCTAACCCTCAGCAGAGCCTAGGGTTAGACAACCAAAAAACATCACCCTGAGGGTTGGAGATTTCTCTGTCACACTCTATTCTATTAAAGTCCACAACCAATTACCCTCTGGGTGTTTTAAAGCACAACAATCTTTTGAAGCTGAGGGCAATATTGTGATACTGCTCTGTAGGAAATACACCTCAGAACACTGTTTTTTAAACCACAAACCTTGTAAGAAACAAAAAACACTTTTCGAAAAAAATTACAGGATTTGTTTTATTTTACGTTAGTAATCTACATAATTTACAATCTAGATTAACAGTGGTAAAAGTTATCACAATGATAATACATACCATACATACATTATGGTAATTAACAGTAGCCATGGGTACCTGACAAGGGGAAGTAAGCAGCCCTTCTCCATACGACAACCAAAATGATAGGTGGCAGCACAGATTGGTACACATATCATACCTTGTTCACTATAGTACCCACCTACAGTACCATCATCCTTTTATACAGCTAATAGGGTGAATATGGCTCAGAGTACAGACAGGCAAAAACATGGTTACCTTAACAGTAAGGCAACCATTTCATCTGTATCATGTGAACAGTTGCCTAAATACTGACAAGAAAACCATACCTTTTCCAACCCCACTCCAGTCCACTGTTAGACTGCAAATAGAAAACTACTAAACATTCACTCAAGTACCAGATCAGACTGCAACCTGATTGACAGTGAAATGATCAAAAAGTTACAAATCATTGTTGAAATGATTTTATTTTGTTGGAATGATATAATGATCCTGATGACAACAATGGCAAGAAGATGAAGATAGAAAAATGAAAATGATGACATCATGAGAGTTACAAACTATGATTCACGTCATGTTATCCCGGTTCACATTCAGTGTCTGGCTATAGGGACGCCCGTCACATGTAGCTTGTGACTATTCTAAGTAACCATGCATATGTGACTGGTCTTAGTACCTGTGTTACATGTGACTGTTCTTATTAACTGTGTCACATGTGACTGGTCTTAGTACCTGTGTTACATGTGACTGTTCTTATTAACTGTGTCACATGTGACTGTTCTTATTAACTGTGTTACATGTGACTGTTCTTATTAACTGTGTCACATGCGACTGTTCTTAGTACCTGTGCCACATGCGACTGTTCTTAGTACCTGTGTCACATGCGACTGTTCTTAGTTCCTGTGTCACATGCGACTGTTCTTAGTTCCTGTGTCACATGCGACTGTTCTTAGTTCCTGTGTCACATGCGACTGTTCTTAGTTCCTGTGTCACATGCGACTGTTCTTAGTTCCTGTGTCACATGCGACTGTTCTTAGTTCCTGTGTCACATGCGACTGTTCTTAGTTCCTGTGTCACATGCGACTGTTCTTAGTTCCTGTGTCACATGCGACTGTTCTTAGTTCCTGTGTCACATGCGACTGTTCTTAGTTCCTGTGTCACATGCGACTGTTCTTAGTTCCTGTGTCACATGCGACTGTTCTTAGTTCCTGTGTCACATGCGACTGTTCTTAGTTCCTGTGTCACATGCGACTGTTCTTAGTTCCTGTGTCACATGCGACTGTTCTTAGTTCCTGTGTCACATGCGACTGTTCTTAGTTCCTGTGTCACATGCGACTGTTCTTAGTACCTGTGTCACATGTGACTGTTCTTAGTTCCTGTGTCACATGCGACTGTTCTTAGTACCTGTGTCACATGCGACTGTTCTTAGTTCCTGTGTCACATGTGACTGTTCTTAGTTCCTGTGTCACATGCGACTGTTCTTAGTACCTGTGTCACATGTGACTGTTCTTAGTTCCTGTGTCACATGTGACTGTTCTTAGTTCCTGTGTCACATGCGACTGTTCTTAGTTCCTGTGTCACATGTGACTGTTCTTAGTTCCTGTGTCACATGTGACTGTTCTTAGTACCTGTTTCGCATGTGACTTGTCTCGGTACCTGTGTCACATGTGACTGGTCTTAGAACCTGTGTTACATGTGACTGGTCTTAGAACCTCTGTTACATGTGACTGGTCTTAGTACCTGTGTCACATGTAGCTTGATAAAATTCCAGCCATATTTATTTGACATGATCACTTCTTTATGATTGATCATTGTACCAGTGGCCACAAAATGGAAACGCCCAGGCCAGAAGTAAATTTAATATCATACACGTCCTATGACGTCACAGAGAGTATTTTATGAACATAGACCTCACAACCAAGTTGCCATGGCAAACAACATTTATCTTGAGACACACTTGGTAAACCATCTTTTGGATGTACACTTATTCTTAAATAATTGCATTTTTTCTGTTTATGAACTTTAAAACAGTATATGTAAGGTAATTTAAAAAATAGGCCCAGTAGAACTTTAATTTAAGTTTAAAATAGTTTTTCAAAATGGTGGCCGTGGTAGCCATATTGGATTTCTGATCGACCCAAAAAATAATAACACTTTGTCAGGACCATGAGTCTATCTTTCCTACCAAGTTTCAATTAAATCAGCCCGGTAAAACTTGACTTTAAGTTTGAAATAGTTTTTCAAAATGGCGACCAGCTTAAGTTGAAAATGTAAAATGTTAACGGACGATGGACGAAGACGGATAGCAATAGGTCACTTGAGCTAAAAGCTCAGGTGACCTAAAAAAACAGCCATGTTAATTCATTTCCCCAGAATTAAACAATAAAACTTGCAAGGACAGTAAGCATTGTCTGGGAAGAGTTCCACTGGCATAAATTTTATCTTGTTAGTATTTATAATTGGTCTATTCAACTACCAACATGACAGAAAAAATATAATTATTAAATGTAAAACATCTTTTTAAAAATGATGCTACAATACTATAAACTAGACTGTCAGGTAGGAGTGCTTATCAAATACCACAGTAACAGTGTTTACCCAAATCATCCAGTTTATACGCACTTGGAACAGAGCTCGCACATTTTATCGAAATTGAAATAGATAAATGCACAAAAAAACGCTGGACAATGAATCGTGAAGGACACATAAACTACAGCACTTTTGAACGGCTTACTATCCACATTGCCAGGGTTTAACTATGAGATCAGTGGGAACAAATATGGACTACTGAATAGGTGTGGACAGAGAAACGCACTTACACACATTCTCTTCATCGCCATGTAGTGACAGCAACTGGTGGACTGACACCACAGTAAATACTTTCCATCAGTAACTTACATACCTCTGTCTACCACTTCAGTAAATACCCAGTGTTAGGAACTTACATACGTCTGTCTACCACTTCAGTAAATACCTTCTGTCAGGAACTTACATACCTGTCTACCACTTCAGTAAATACCCAGTGTCAGGAACTTACATACCTGTCTACCACTTCAGTAAATACCCAGTGTCAGGAACTTACATATGTCTGTCTACCACTTCAGTAAATACCCAGTGTTAGGAACTTACATATGTCTGTCTACCACTTCAGTAAATACCCAGTGTTAGGAACTTACATACGTCTGTCTACCACTTCAGTAAATACCTTCTGTCAGGAACTTACATAACTGTCTACCACTTCAGTAAATACCCAGTATCAGGAACTTACATACCTGTCTACCACTTCAGTAAATACCAAGTGTCAGGAACTTACATACCTGTCTACCACTTCAGTAAATACCCAGTGTCAGGAACTTACATATGTCTGTCTACCACTTCAGTAAATACCCAGTGTTAGGAACTTACATATGTCTGTCTACCACTTCAGTAAATACCTTCTGTCAGGAACTTACATACCTGTCTACCACTTCAGTAAATACCCAGTATCAGGAACTTACATACCTGTCTACCACTTCAGTAAATACCAAGTGTCAGGAACTTACATACCTCTGTCTACCACTTCAGTAAATACCCAGTGTCAGGAACTAACATACCTGTCTACCACTTCAGTAAATTTAAATACCTTCTGTCAGTAACTAACATTCCTTCGTCTACCACTTCAGTAAATACCTCCCGTCAGTAAACCTACATACTTCTCTCTGCCTCCCTCAACTGTCATCCATGCAACTCAAAGATCACAGAAAAATAATAACAATTAAAAAAATGAAGCATTTAACAATGAATAATTTATGCAATAAGACAACAACATTAACAAAGAGCGTCTCAATCTTTCATCACTACTACAAATAGCTATAGAGTAATGTTAATATCATGCGAGGCCTATAATTAATAACACTTTAGTAGATACAACCTTTCAGAGATAGCAATTTGTTTATACCAGAATTAAAGCTAAGGCTATTCCACCTTATACCTGTGTTTTGTGTAAGGGTTAAGGTTACTATACAAGTTGTACCTGTGTTTTGTGTTGGGGTTAAGGTTACTATACAAGTTATACCTGTGTTTTGTGTTAGGGTTAAGGTTACTATATGAGTTATACCTGTGTTTTGTGTAAGGGTTAAGGTTACTATACAAGTTGTACCTGTGTTTTGTGTAAGGGTTAAGGTTACTATATAAGTTGTACCTGTGTTTTGTGTTGGGGTTAAGGTTACTATACGAGTTGTACCTGTGTTTTGTGTTAGGGTTAAGGTTACTATACGAGTTGTACCTGTGTTTTGTGTAAGGGTTAAGGTTACTATACGAGTTATACCTGTGTTTTGTGTTGGGGTTAAGGTTACTATACGAGTTGTACCTGTGTTTTGTGTTGGGGTTAAGGTTATATAATACCATACAAAATATAACTATGATTTGTGAAGTTATATCTCTTAAATGATATTTTATAACTGCTTACCATTGTTTTGGAATCATACCTATGTTATTACCTTATTACATATATGGTTATTATTGTTATTTTACAGGTTTCTTAAACACTTGTTGGAAAAAGAGAGGCAGGCAGGTCGGAGAAGCATATTCAGTTAATAAGGTTTTTGTGAACAATCTCATCTGAGTTTAAGCTGAAGTCTTGCTATAAGCATTCTTAACTTAATTGTCCACACCAAAACAAAACAAGCATCTTTTCATAAAGTTAGCTTCATTCAACTGAAAACCTCCTGAAATGTTTTTTTTAAAAATGATTTCAATAGTTTATGTTAAAAAAATAAAGAGAAAAAAAAATGCCAAAGTTTGAAGTGTGAATTTCTTCAGAATAAGGTTGACAGGAGAGTCCTTTTCACGAAAACATCATCTGCTCAGAATAAATAACAATGATAAACACAAAATGATCTGGCATTGTGATATAAAAAAATCTTTAAGGGCCATCACAGGGCTCTTATTTGTTTTTGTTATCTATATTTTCTAACATTTTTAATAAAAATTACATTATATACAATAGTGTACAAATTTGTTATACAGATTGTATTTACACAACTCTATTTACAAAGAAATGTTTTTATGTATTGATATATTTTTTTTTCTCTCTCAAAGTTTATACAACTAGTTTAAATAATCTAACATTTCACAGCAGCTTCCAAGCAATGTCAGTCATCTTATAATTGGTTAACCCACCCTTCCTTCCCACCACCAGCCTTTCTTTTCCCACCATCAACCCTCCTTTTCCACCATAAACAGTCATCTTGTTTGGCTAGAAAATTATTCTTTTCCACCATAATTAATTTTGATGTATTAATCCCAGTCAAAGGGGAGTAACTCTCCATCCTAATCCATTTTGTTAACTTTGATCAAGAAGCAGGTTAAAAGAAGGAAATACAAAGACTTTAAAAAATCAATTGTTAAAATGAACTGACATTGCCTTTTTTGTGACTAAAGATATAAATCATGCAAAAACAAAATCGCAAAAAATATATATTAAATGCAAATTGCTCTAACAACATTATTGCACATTTGTGTGAAAACCCCACTTTAAAATAGAATACAGTTATTGTAAACCAAAGGAGTAGAGATGAACACATTACCTTTAATTGGCTCCAATTTCTCCAACTCCCACAAAATAAATCCAAAGCCCTTGGCATCACATAATAAACATATAGAAATTGGAATGCTCAAAACATTCTGTAATTTTAAAATACCTACATGCAATTTATAGAACTTCCCATAGATTTATTTGACATTAAGGCTTTCATACAAAGTTAAGCCTGATAACTGAATATAGCCGGAAAACTCTGATATCTAAATCCATTTTATCTCACACAGGGTGTAATGGCAAGAAAAAGACAATAACAGAAATAATTTCATGTGTTATACTAGTGTAAATAAAGTATAGTCTAAAGACTTATACCTGAATGATAAAAAGTAAGGATTTGGCACAGCAACAACAAACTTCAGACCAATCAGAGCTCCACTACCAAACGTCCTACATCAGAACAGACCAATCAGAGCTCCCCTACCAAACTTCCTACATCAGAACAGACCATTCAGAGCTCCCCTACCAAACTTCCTACATCAGAACAGACCAATCAGAGCTGCTCCACTACCAAACTTCCTACATCAGAACAGACCAATCAGAGCTCCCCTACCAAACTTTCTACATCAGAACAGACCAATCACAGCTCCCCTACCAAACTTTCTACATCAGAACAAACCAATCAGAGTCTACCAAACTTCCTACATCAGAACTGACCAATCAGAGCTCCACTACCAAACTTCCTACATCAGAACTGACCAATCAGAGCTGCTCCCCTACCAAACTTCCTACATCAGAACAGACCAATCAGAGCTGCTCCCCTACCAAACTTCCTACATCAGAACCGACCAAACAGAGCTGCTCCCCTACCAAACTTCCTACATCAGAACTGACCAATCAGAGGTCCCCTACCAAACTTCCTACATCAGAACCGACCAATCAGAGCTCCCCTACCAAACTTCCTACAACAGAACTGACCAATCAGAGGTCCCCTACCAATCTTCCTACATCAGAACCGACCAAACAGAGCTGCTCCCCTACCAAACTTCCTACATCAGAACAGACCAATCAGAGCTGCTCCCCTTCCAAACTTTCTACATCAGAACAGACCATTCAGAGCTCCCCTACCAAACTTCCTACATCAGAACCGACCAATCAGAGCTCCGCTACCAAACTTCCTACATCAGAACAGACCATTCAGAGCTCCCCTACCAAACTTCCTACATCAGAACAGACCAATCAGAGCTCCCCTACCAATCAATCTAAACACAACTGATTCCACCAATCAGACAGCTCTCACTGTTTAAACTTTTACTCATTCAGATATAAATTGCATGCTGGAAAATTGCTGTAGCTGTCTTGTGTTAAGTTTCTTCTTAAATAGTATAATAGTGTTTGATTTTTAAAAATATATTGCATGTTTAAATTATGATTGAGAGAAGGAAAAAACAATCGTTCTTTCTGAGCATAACTGAAATAGGTTTGGTAGATAATGGATCAGAACACTTGTGATAGTTAGGTTATGACAGTATACAGGTCCTAGAACATGTACACTTGTGATAGTTAGGTTATGACAGTATACAGGTCCTAGAACATGTACCACTAACAGGAGCTTTATCATGTGTAACACAACAAACCTTTATAGAACTTGTCTATTCCTTTTCCCTTAATATATATATATAAATTAGGAATATAACAATTAATTTGGTATAAACAAGCAGAAAATAGAAAGTGAGATAATTGCATGTTCTCCTGGTAATTCTTTTTCTTTTGTTAAGTTATTTCCAGTCAAGAAAATGGTTAAGATTTCTGTTGAATTGCACTATGGAATGAATACTTGATGTAAAAAATAACAACCTTCTTGCATTTCTTTCACATAAGCAGGTAATTAAACAGAAGGAATAATGTGTGGATAATGCCACTTTTGGGCAAAAAATAAACTTTGAAATAAATACAGCTTTCTTTCATCACAATAATAATATTCAACAAAATTAAAATCTTTTGACATAAACTAAGGCTCAACAATTTAAAGATATATATTTGGTCCCTTCAACAACTATATAAAACTATCACATGCCTGCTCTGTAGGCTTCAACAGGTCCCAACAACCCTACATGTAGCTCCAGGTCCTGACAAAACTAAAATAATTCCATAAACTTAGATCTATGTCCTGACAGAATTAAAATAATCCTGACAACTTAGCTCTTGGTTCCGACAGAATTAAAATAACCCTGACATCTTAGCTCAGTTTCTGACAGAATTAAAATAATCCTGACACTTTCGCTCCAGGTCTTGACAGAATTGAAATAATATTAAAACCCTCTATTGGCTAAAAATATAGCACTATAATAAGCTTAATGCTTTGCCCTGTCATTCTTGAGTACAGTTATGTCCACCTCATGGGGACGTCCACGACACCTCGCGCAGGAAATAATTCCTGTCTCCCAACTCACACTCGATGTCCCTGTCATACCATCATAAATAAGTGGGACTTTCTGATCAAGGTATTGTTACTTTGTATAGCATTACTCCACAGTAACGGTATCCTGAACCTTCTTATCACGGTTAAATCCCATAACTACTCTATACAGCAGTATGTGGGTCAGTTCCTGCTTCATTTAAAATTTCATTGGTAATGGTATGAATTCATCCATCTAACCTTTCAAGAAGGTTACAGTTAAATCATGTTCATCCTTGGCGATGATGAAGGTCACCTTCATCTTTGGGCGGTCACTTAATCCAGTGTTGTTGGACATCCTCCTTCATTAACCTTATCAAACTTGTCTAATTACCTTGCCTTAAAATCTGTTAAACTTGGTAATTTCTATCTTGGAGGCATTTGTCATCTCAAACATCACCTGTTCAATCCAGACTTCTGATTCTAAAATATCATTATTCCAGTACAATTAAGAAACATTGCCCTTATCTTGATGGTAAACACTTAAAAGGAATTGGCCTCTCTATGGAGACAAAAATCTAGCCTTTGTATGAAGCCAGCCTCTGTATGGAGACAGAAATCTAGCCTTTGTATGAAGCCAGCCTCTCCTTGCAGACTAGAGTCTCTATGGAAATAGGAGTCTAGCCTTTGTTTGGAGCCAGCCACTGTAAGGAAAATGGGAGATTATCTTTAGTATGGAGCCAGCCTCTCTATGGAACTTAAATCTTTACGGAAACAAGAAAGAATAAGCTTTGCCTTTGTACAGAGCCAGCCTCTTTACGATTTAGTCTATCTTTGGAGACTGGGATGAACATAACTGTTCTCTGGAGCGCCCTTTAGAATCAGCTTGAGCCGTACGAGAAAGCATGCATTACCCAATCATCTTACATATACCAAGTTATGCCCCTATATCAAATCCGAATTTATTCCTTGATAACATGGAACACTTAAAATCTAGTTAAGATCAATAAGAGTTGATATGCAGCAGTCTGGATTGAACATCTGATGATTTACTCGTCCAAAGAGTGTTCCCAACTTGAACCAATAGATACGGCAGCATTTGGCTGACAATAGCGAGATCTGTTTCCAGTGAGTTGTCTCCCCTTCAGGTGAGGGAGTTGGTGAGACAGTGCTAGAATTGGTACCACTTTTTGTCTTTATATTTTAACATGAGTTGATGCGAGGCAGTTGCAAAGCTGTCTGCTTGCATTGTCATCTGTTCTGTCCGATCACCAAGATCTGACAACTTCTCACCGCGTTCAATGAAGGCCTGAAAAAAAAGGATACCAAAATTATGATTGCAAGTAGAGAATGATACTTACATACTGAAACAATGTGCGGCACAACAAGATTTGTTCCAGCCTGAATCATTCAAAAGTAGCCAAGTAAGATTATATATTCTTGTGTTTGATATACATACAGTAGACATTTGTCTGTTCATTGTATCATTGTGTTAACACTTAAATAAGTTTGTGTTTTTGTTGTTGTTTGTCCTACAAGACTGACCTTGTGTGCCCGCCCGACTTCTCCTGTGGCACTTATGGCTTGTGTTTGTAGATGCTGCATGCCCCCAGTCCCTGGTAACCGTGTCGCCAGTCCCCGTGGACCCTTCCCACTCATCTCTCCAACTACAGCATACAAACCAGTGTTACCTTTCTCATGAAATCTTGATACACTCATAAAAAACAACATTAATTGCTGCTCCAGAAAACCATGCAACCATTTTAGACAAGAAAAAGAAAAAGAGTACCGCGGGGCGGAACAATATACGCCCAACGAATCCCATATAGTGTTATATACTTTCTTACATTGAAATAAGATCTGCATCATTCAAAGTGTGGTTAGCTGACATGCTATAACAAGAGGCCCAGAGGGCCTGTATCGCTCACCTGGATACCAAAGCAATCATGGCAAAATATTCTCCGAATGAGATCAAGGGAATATGCCAGACCCCAAGGCCAATCCTTGTAGCATATCTGTATTAGATTTTTCATGCCCAGCAATTTTATGTATGGTTATGGGGTGGGGATCTCAACTGTTTCCAAGCTTTGACTCAGAAACTAGGTCCCTAGGGTTGTGGCCAGACCCCAGGATCAATTCTAATATCGTGACTGCATTTGTCTCTTTTTGCCCAGCATTTGTATATATAGTTTTGGGGTGGGGATCTCAACCNAAGGGAATATGCCAGACCCCAAGGCCAATCCTTGTAGCATATCTGTATTAGATTTTTCATGCCCAGCAATTTTATGTATGGTTATGGGGTGGAGATCTCAACTGTTTCCAAGCTTTGACTCAGAAACCAGGTCCCTAGGGTTGTGGCCAGACCCTAGGATCAATTCTAATATCGTGACTGCATTTGTCTCTTTTTGCCCAGCATTTGTATACATAGTTTTGGGGTGGGGATCTCAACCGTTTAAAAGTTATGACCCAGGGGTTAAGTCTGCAAGGGTGGGGCAGACCCTATAGCCATCCTGTAAGCAAATGTGCATTCTTCTCTTTATACTCAGCAATTGTATACCATGGTTATATGGTGGGGGTCTCAATCACTTCCAAGTAATACACTTTTTTTGGCCCCACCCCTTAGCCGGGGGGTCAGCCCTACCATTTTTACAATTTTGAATCCCTGCCTCCCATGAATGCTTCCAACCAAATATGATCAATATCCATGGCATAATTCTACAGAAGAAGTCGTTTATAGCAATATAGCTAAATTGCCCCCGCCCTAAGCCCCCTGGGGGCTCAGCTCCATCATTTGTACAATTTTGAATCCCTAACACCTAGGGATGCTTCCAGTCAAATATGGTTGATATTGACTTCTTAGTTCCAGAGAAGAAGTCGCTTAAAGCAATATAGCCAACTTGACTCCTTTTGGCCCCCACCCCTCAGCTCCCTTGGGGGTCAGCCCAACCATTTGTACAATTTTGAATTCCCACCACCTAGGGATGCTTCCAGTCAAATATGGTTTATATCCATCTCTCAGTTCCAGAGAAGAAGTCGCTTAAAGCAGTATAGCCAAATTGTCCCCTTTTTGCCCCGCCCCTCAGCCCCCTGGGGGGTCAGCCCCATCATTTGTACAATTTTGAATCCCCACCACCTAGTGATGCTTCCAGTCAAATATGGTTGATATCCACTTCTTAGTTCCAGAGAAGAAGTCGCTTAAAGCAATTTTGCCAAATTGACCCCTATTTGCCCCATCCCTCAGCCACCTGGTTGAATTCCAATCAGTGGTTAGGAATAAGAAGTTGTTTAGAGAAATTGGTCGACGGACGACACGGTATGGCAAAGGTGAGTCCTTCGGACCAGGTGAGCTAAAAATGTAGGAGAAAATCTCCGGATAAAAAACTCAAATACTGAAATGAACAAAGGACAATTACTTTTGAAGAAATTGTTGAATCAAAATTCTTTTATGGGAGACACAACTTTATATCATGATTATAATGTATAATGTAATTCTTTTCAAGGAAACACAACAAAATATCATGATTATTTAGCCTGCTAAGTTTCAAAGAGATCCGTTGAAAAATGTAGGAGGAGATTGCCGGACAAAAAACAAATACTGAAATGAACAAAGGGCAATTACTTTTGGAAAAATTGTCAAATCAAAATTCTTTTAAGGGAGACACAACTTCATATCATGATTATAATGTATACCAAGTTTCAAAGAGATCGGTCGAAAAATGTAGGAGGAGATTGCAGGACAAACAAAAGTTTACGCCGTATGGACAACGCCATACTATAATACTCCCGTCAAATTTGACGGGTGTATAAAAACACTACAAAAACCTGTATGAGTTACATGTATATATTTTGGATACAGTATTTAACATTATAAGCTAAAAATCAACATTACTGAGCACTTATAAGCTCATTGGTCAAAAGAAAATAAATAGGATCTTCACTTTGTTTTACAGAACAAGATTAACGCGTAATTATGTCTTGCCGTTACCCACTTTGTGTTTTCACACACAATTTATGCTAATAGCAGTTTAAAATAAATTCTGTCAGAGAGGAGAATCTTCATAACCATGTGGTAAGCTGCGAATACAGGTTTTACCACTGGATTTAATGAGTAATTAAGACAGCATTTTCTCGAAAAAAAATAAAGCAGTACCGGTACATATCACATGCATTGGTAAATATGTGCAATGAAATGTTTCTGAAACTAAATATGTTTAATTACTGTAAATACTGAAGGTGTGTATAAAAATCAAACTAAATCTGACTATTACTAAATATATTATGTCCAATTCTAAAAAATCACCCAAAATTCTAAGTTTTCTGCCCAAGAAATCGAGCCAAGCATTTCAAATCTCTGTTCCTCGCAATGAGTTGTACACCGCATTACCTACTGAGCTAAAAACAATTTTTTTACATTAGCTGGCCAAAAACACAAAAATTCCCTTCACAAATTGATATGGTCATTTGAGCAAGAAACCTGTATTACATATTGAAGTACTGTGTATACTGAAGGTTTGTATAAAACTGGAAGTAAATCTGACAATTATTAAAGAAGTTATGTCCAATTCTCAAAATCACCCAAAATTTTATGTGTTCTGCCCCAAAAAGTTGTTTGTGGTCATCTCAGCAAACATGCCATATTATATGTTGAATTACTGTGTATACTGAAGGTATGTATAAAATTGGAAGCAAATCTGACAATTATTTTAAGAAGTTATGTCCAATTCTCAAAATCACCCAAAATTCTTTGTTTTTGGTCCAAAATATGTAAAAAATATATATCAAACAACGAAAAACAAATCCCCACTTTGACTTCATAGTATGCAAGGTTCAACACCATAATGCCATTATTAACTGATTAAGAAGCATATAACGAGAACTGAACGCTGAGCTAAACGCAATGTTAGACGCCGTCGTCGCCGGAAAAGCAACACCTTAGTCTTGCTGTCGCTCCACCGTCGCAGCGAGACAATAAACTGAAGATCTTTTCACTTACATAGTTCCTCTCTGTCCAGTGTTGATGTCCCTCCCCCAAACAGACTTTTTAAAAATCCCTGTTTTGGAGCTTCAGGCGTCTCACAAGGTAAAAACAAATCAGCCATCATTTCATTCAGGTTATCACTGCAAAACAAGAGCATAAACACTGCTTAGAAATAATTCCCATCAAAATGACAAAATGATGTGACAGTTATTGGTACTCAGGTCTGTAGACTACTCAAGATACTTTGTATGCCATATTCTGTGGAGTGGTTCATGCAGTCTGCAGATCAAACAGCATGCTATTGCCAAACTCTCTGCATACATTTATTTCATCTGTTTAATCATTTTTGTGAGTAAATATCAGCAGAGAAGATGATCCCTGACATTACCATCCTACCTTATATCAGCAGAAAAGGAGATTTTCTGTATCTCTGTTGGTGAGCACAGGTAACAAGCATGGCCGTTACTACTGAAGCCAAACGTTCTGGCAATCCGGAGATCGGTAAGTGGCAGGAAATCCATGTCAAGTAGAGGCTTAAGGCTGGGTAGACTGAACACTGTTATATGACCATTGGCTATATAACATGCTAAACATACACTATCTGAAAACAAGACAAGAACTCACTGAGTATTTTCAAGCAGAAATCAACTTTACTTTTAAAGAAAGAAGAAAGACAAAATTTCTTATCCATCCTGATAGTTATTATGAGCATGGTAAACTCACACACCACAGTATATCTTGCACGAAATAAATTCCAATCTTTACTCAATGACATACTAGAAACAGAATATATAGATGTTCTTTGCACTTAGTGACTTTTGATATGATAATTATAAGAATCAGTTTTGTGTTGGAGGAACATACTCACCACGTAATGAGACCACATCTGCCCTTACCACAAAGGAGGCATCTGTAATTCGTGTCTTATATGGACAGGTTTGAGAAGGCAGGGACACTACCTGTAAACACCAACAGTTCATGTATAAGGTGTACTGGTTTACATGTACACTACTGATGTTTGCTGATAATGCTTAAATGTATACTTATCACTTAGTTTTGAGTTAAAGAACATTGGTGGTAATAGGGCCTGTCACTACTTACACACCAGGACTGAAATGCTGTTGAAGACTGTGAACCTGCTGGCTATCAGGCTGGTCCAGCTCATTATAGTCAGGTGAATATGTACTTGTCATGTAGCCAGGTGGCAATTAGTTTATCATATAGCAGAGTATGAAATGACTCATTCTATTGCCCAAGCAGAAAATGATGTATCATAAAATCTTGTAAGACATTGACTGATCAAATTATGACTTTAAAAGAACAACATTTGGATCTGAGGGAGCACAAATTCTTACATTTACAACAAAACTGTTTTTACATTTTTACATTTCTACAAAATTCCTACTGCTGTAAAATGAACCTGTATCGAACGTGCTCTTTTAATTTGCTGCTACCATTTGTAGGATTAATTACGCTGAACCTGAATGTCATGATACCTACCCTTGCTTGTTTTTCTGAGCAGATTATGGCGTATTGTTTATCACTGATTTCTGTTGACGGGGATGGAGAAATTCTTGGCTTTGGAGTGGTAGGTGTCGTATCTGATGAAAGAGCAAAACAACTTTGAGCAACTTTGATGATTAGTACTTCTAACATATAAGGTAATTTCTTAAATGTAGGTAAAGTATACAAGGAAACTATAAACTCAAAAGCTGGGGAACAAGGAATCAAAACAAGAAAGCATCATGTTGCCAATGTCTCCAACTGCATGTTGATATGGAAAGCTGGCAATCTAAATGTCACTCTGAGTGACACGATTTTGGTGCATGAACTTCTGCTTCCATAAGATGTACTTGTATACTTAGATTGATGAGACTTGAACAACAGGCAGTCAACTATATACACTTAAACTGCAACTGCAAAGCAAAAACATTTCTAACTGTGGACAGATGACATTATCCCCACTCGGCGTTGTGGTTGGGACAGTAAGAATTTACTCTGAAAAGATCGGTTTTCCTGCTATAGCAGTGGATGCTGTACTGTATCTATTTTAATATACAAGGTACATGTTTATCGTATACATCAGTCTGGACTTACTTCTATCTCGTTTTTCTTTCTCTTTGCTTTCCTTCTTCTCCTGCCACTGTTCATACTGTGTGGGGATCAAAGTACCCGTACAGTCCAGGAAAGACATGGTTAATACTGAACCCTTCAGTCGAATTAACGTACCTGTACAGGGAAAAGACATGGTTAACACTGAACCCTTCAGTCGAATTAACGTACCTGCACAGGTAAAAGACATGGTTAACCCTGAACCCTTCAGTCGAATTACCATACCTGTACAGGTAAAAGACATGGTTAACCCTGAACCCTTCAGTCGAATTAACGTACCTGTACAGGTAAAAGACATGGTTACCACTAAACCCTTCAGTCGAGTTAACGTACCTATACAGGGAAAGGACATTGTTAACACTGAACCCTTCAGTCGAATTAACATACCTGTACAGGTAAAAGACATGGTTAACACTGAACCCTTCAGTCAAATTAACGTACCTGTACAGGTAAAAGACATGGTTAACACTGAACCCTTCAGTCAAATAAGCATACCTGTACAGGTAAAAGCAAGACAGGTTTAATATTGAACAATAACAATAAGCAACTAGCTCTATGGATGATATATAAATAACAAGTGACCTTGTCATTGACATTAAGATCATGATTTTTTTATTTTACAGACTTCTTTTTATGTGTAACTCAGGTTGTGTTCCTCTCTGTTCCCCTTGTGGAGGTATATTTAGTCTGTTTACTGTTGGGTTGTGTTGACTGTAGGTTAGACTTACCACTGGGGGACACTATGACAGGTTGTGTTCCTCTCTGGTCCCCTTGTGGAGGTATATTTAGTCTGTTTACTGTTGGGTTGTGTTGACTGTAGGTTAGACTTACCACTGGGGGACACTATGACAGGTTGTGTTCCTCTCTGGTCCCCTTGTAGAGATATATATTTAGTCTGTTAAGTGTTTGGTTGTGTTAGGACTGTAGGTTAGACTTACCACTGGGGGACACTATGAGAGGTTGTGTTCCTCGCTGGTCCCCTTGTAGAGGTAGATTTAACACTATCACTATAACTGATCCTAAACTGGTTCCTACCCATAGACATGGACTTGTAAAATTATCTGTAACAAAAGAAGTATATTTAGTCTGTTAAGTGTTTGTTTGTGTTGACTGTAGGTTAGACTTGCCACTGGGGGACACTATGACAGGGTGTGTTCCTCTCTGGTCCCCTTGAGTCTGTTAAGTGTTTGGTTGTGTGGACAGTAGGTTAGACTTACCACTGGGGGTCACTATGACAGGTTGTGTTCCTCTCTAGTCCCCTTGTAGAGGTATATTTAGTCTGTTGAGTGTTTGGTTGTGTTGACTGTAGGTTAGAATTACCACTGGGGGACACTATGACAAGTTGTGATCCTCTCTGGTCCCCTTGTAGAGAGATATATTTAGTCTGTTATCTGTTGGGTTGGGTTAGGACTGTAGGTTAGGCTTACCACTGGGGGACACTATGAGAGGTTGTGTTCCTCGCTGGTCCCCTTGTAGAGAAATATATTTAGTCTGTTAACTGTTGGGCTGGGTTAGGACTGTAGGTTAGACTTACCACTCGTACCTATACAGGGAAAGGACATTGTTAACACTGAACCCTTCAGTCGAATTAACGTACCTGTACAGGTAAAAGACATGGTTAACACTGAAGCCTTCAGTCGAATTAACGTACCTGTACAGGTAAAAGACATGGTTAACACTGAACCCTTCAGTCAAGTAAGCATACCTGTACAGGTAAAAGCAAGACAGGTTTAATATTGAACAATAACGATAAGCAACAAGCTCTTTGGATGATATATAAATAACAAGTGACCTTGTCATTGACATTAAGATCATGATTTTTTTATTTTACAGACTTCTTTTTATGTGTAACTCAGGTTGTGTTCCTCTCTGTTCCCCTTGTGGAGGTATATTTAGTCTGTTTACTGTTGGGTTGTGTTGGCTGTAGGTTAGACTTACCACTGGGACAGGTAAAAGACATGGTTAACACTGAAGCCTTCAGTCGAATTAACGTACCTGTACAGGTAAAAGACATGGTTAACACTGAACCCTTCAGTCAAATAAGCATACCTGTAGAGGTAAAAGCAAGACAGGTTTAATATTGAACAATAACGATAAGCAACAAGCTCTTTGGATGATATATAAATAACAAGTGACCTTGTCATTGACATTAAGATCATGATTTTTTTATTTTACAGACTTCTTTTTATGTGTAACTCAGGTTGTGTTCCTCTCTGTTCCCCTTGTGGAGGTATATTTAGTCTGTTTACTGTTGGGTTGTGTTGGCTGTAGGTTAGACTTACCACTGGGGGGCACTATGACAGGTTGTGTTCCTCTCTGGGCCCCTTGTAGAGATATATATTTAGACTGTTTCCTGTTGGGTGGGGTTAGGTCTGTAGGTTAGACTTACCACTGGGGGGCACTATGACAGGTTGTGTTCCTCGGAAAGGACATTGTTAACACTGAACCCTTCAGTCGAATTAACGTACCTGTACAGGTAAAAGACATGGTTAACACTGAAGCCTTCAGTCGAATTAACGTACCTGTACAGGTAAAAGACATGGTTAACACTGAACACTTCAGTCAAATAAGCATACCTGTAGAGGTAAAAGCAAGACAGGTTTAATATTGAACAATAACGATAAGCAACAAGCTCTTTGGATGATATATAAATAACAAGTGACCTTGTCATTGACATTAAGATCATGATTTTTTTATTTTACAGACTTCTTTTTATGTGTAACTCAGGTTGTGTTCCTCTCTGTTCCCCTTGTGGAGGTATATTTAGTCTGTTTACTGTTGGGTTGTGTTGGCTGTAGGTTAGACTTACCACTGGGGGGCACTATGACAGGTTGTGTTCCTCGCTGGGCCCCTTGTAGAGATATATATTTAGTCTGGTAAGTGTTTGGTTGTGTTAGGACTGTAGGTTAGACATACCACTGGGGGACACTATGACAAGTTGTGATCCTCTCTGGTCCCCTTGTAGAGGTATATATTTAGTCTGTTAACTGTTTGGTTGGGTTAGGACTGTAGGTTAGCCTTTCCACTGGGGGACACTATGACAGGTGGTGTTCCTCTCTGGTCCCCTTGTAACACTGAACCCTTCAGTCGAATTAACGTACCTGTACAGGTAAAAGACATGGTTAACACTGAAGCCTTCAGTCGAATTAACGTACCTGTACAGGTAAAAGACATGGTTAACACTGAAGCCTTCAGTCGAATTAACGTACCTGTACAGGTAAAAGACATGGTTAACACTGAACCCTTCAGTCGAATTAACATACCTGTACAGGTAAAAGACATGGTTAACACTGAAGCCTTCAGTCGAATTAACGTACCTGTACAGGTAAAAGACATGGTTAACACTGAAGCCTTCAGTCGAATTAACGTACCTGTACAGGTAAAAGACATGGTTAACACTGAAGCCTTCAGTCGAATTAACGTACCTGTACAGGTAAAAGACATGGTTAACACTGAACACTTCAGTCAAATAAGCATACCTGTAGAGGTAAAAGCAAGACAGGTTTAATATTGAACAATAACGATAAGCAACAAGCTCTTTGGATGATATATAAATAACAAGTGACCTTGTCATTGACATTAAGATCATGATTTTTTTATTTTACAGACTTCTTTTTATGTGTAACTCAGGTTGTGTTCCTCTCTGTTCCCCTTGTGGAGGTATATTTAGTCTGTTTACTGTTGGGTTGTGTTGGCTGTAGGTTAGACTTACCACTGGGGGACTCTATGACAGGTTGTGTTCCTCTCTGGCCCCCTTGTAGAGATATATATTTAGACTGTTTCCTGTTGGGTGGGGTTAGGTCTGTAGGTTAGACTTACCACTGGGGGTCACTATGACAGGTTGTGTTCCTCTCTGGCCCCCTTGTAGAGATATATATTTAGTATGTTAAGTGTTTGGTTGTGTTAGGACTGTAGGTTAGACTTACCACTGGTGGACACTATGACAGGTTGTGTTCCTCTCTAGTCCCCTTGTAGAGGTATATTTAGTCTGTTAAGTTTTTGGTTGTGTTGACAGTAGGTTAGACTTACCACTGGGGGACTCTATGACAGGTTGTGTTCCTCTCTGGCCCCCTTGTAGAGATATATATTTAGACTGTTTCCTGTTGGGTGGGGTTAGGTCTGTAGGTTAGACTTACCACTGGGGGACTCTATGACAGGTTGTGTTCCTCTCTAGTCCCCTTGTAGAGGTATATTTAGTCTGTTGAGTGTTTGGTTGTGTTGACTGTAGGTTAGACTAACCACTGGGGACACTATGACAGGGTGGGGTCCTCTCTGGTCCCCTTGTAGAGATATATATATAGACTGTTAACTGTGGGGTGGGGTTTGGACTGTAGGTTAGACTTACCACTGGTGGACACTATGACAGGTTGTGTTCCTCGCTGGTCCCCTTGTAGAGGTAGATTTAACACTATCACTATAACTGATCCTAAACTGGTTCCTACCCATAGACATGGACTTGTAAAATTATCTGTAACAAAAGATATGTTCAGCATTTCATTCCACATAAACTAAGAAATACCCTATGAAATAGCAATACAATTCACAACATTATATTTTAGGAGTATTAATTACTTTGCTTACAAAGTTGAATCTGATCCTGGATGTTATCCTGTTCATTTCCAAAATTTTAACAAAGTAAGCTATAGTTTTTCAATGATAAATACTGTTTTTAGAAAATGTATTGGTCTTTTTGAAAGATGTTTATGCCCTGATCCTAACGATGAAGTTTTGTAACTTCAAGATAAGATTTAATAAATAACAAGAGATCCTGGCTCCCACCATTGTATCATCTTAATAAGTTCCATATCAGTTTCTTCTTTTATTTTATCTGTTTGATTGAGTCATGTCAAGCGTAAATGCACCTTGAGGTACCTTTGATATAAAATTTATACTGCTGTGTATGAAAGCCAACCTTTAAAGTGAGTTTTTCATTTCACATACACTAGTACAGTACTTAATGTGAAAGTAATAGAACCGATCATTGCAATATGAGAAAGATCTGTTAAGTTCTTCCTGTGGCCATTTTGTTTTCATGATCAGTCTCAAAATAAACATGCACAACTAGCTATAGGGATCAAGGGGAACCTAGATATAAAATTATTAAAGTCAAAGATTGGTTTATCTGATGAATCTCATAAGTAAACATACACAACAACAGACCAAGGGAAACCTACATGTCGAATTTGAGAAAGATCTCTCCAGTACTTATTGAGAAATAGCAATAACGAACCTTCACTGTCAAAATCCAAGATGGCTGCCTGCCGGCCATTTTGTTTATCTGTTCAGTCTCAAAAGTAAACATGCACATTTAGATGAATGGGAACCTACAAATAATATTCGAGAAAGATCTCTTTCTTGTACTTCCTGAGAAATAGCGATAACAAACAATCAGTCAAAATCTGATCAGTACTTCCTGAGAAATAGCGATAACAAACAATCAGTCAAAATCTGATCAGTCTCTTAAGTAAATATGCACAACTAGGGACCAAGGGAAACCTACATATAAAATTTGAGAAAGATTCCTCTGGTACTTCCTGAGAAATAGCGATTACAAGAAGTGTTAGAGGACAGACAACGGACGGACGGGCGCAGGGTGATTTGAAAAAGTGAATTAAGAACACATAAAGTATACTAAGTAATAAGGCGTATTTCTAGTCAGATTTGATACAGTATTGTACTTGTCTAATTCAAAACTAGATATCACCTTAAGTTATATTATATATAGACAACACACGAACAAAATGAAACAGACCTGTTTTGCGAGCATAAGAATCTGCAAACACTAATGACTGGATAGCCTCCCTTGAAACGTTCTCTAAACTTGACATGCTAGAACTCCGAGACCTTGAAAAGGATGCCCCGTCAGATTTATCTGAAATTCAAATCAGCAAAACAATAAGAGAAAACGTACATACAAAATTCACAAACACCAGTTTGCATTTAAAAATTTGCAGCAGGAAGGCTTTCACTCTTTGTTCATTGTTGTTCTGGAATTATTCTATTTTTATTATTTGTTAACTTGATCTTGATAATGACCAGTGATATTACATAATATTTATTAATCATTCTTTGAATAAAATATTTCAAACAATTAGCAATTAAGCAATGTTTTATAATTCCACAAACAAATATTAGTTATCATAATGCACACATATCAACAGAGATCTGAGGTTTAAAACCAAGAACAAACCTTGGTGATCTGTCACCTACTAATGTGGCTCCACATGGACAGAGAAAATTTCAATTGTGCAAAATGCAGGACATGTAGAAAAGTTAAAATGGACTAAGCTGGATTTGGTAAATAGGACAAAATCAATAAGTCAAAAAAAGTACCATTGTATGTTGTATATGCATTGCTGGGCAACATTGAGGGAGGCATAGGTCAAATTATGTCAAATTATTGCTGCACATCATTTACAAATAAATCACTATAAATACTCATTCTCAGTGTTTTTATTTATTAATTTAATTTTTTTTCTCGAGGTATGTCTAAAAATTCAGGCTTTTGAATCACCCATTATTTACAGATTATATTCCAAGAATACAGAATACACCAATTAAAAACAAAAATATATAATTAAAATATTTAATTTCATATTAACAGCATATATCCCTACCCGAAGCTACATATGTGATGCTGTTATCTACATCTCTTCAGAGGTTGTAAACATGTATTACCAAGAGACCCAATTGGCCTGCATCGCTCACCTGGCATTAATCTCATACTTATAACCTCAAAAATGATCTAAAACAAAGCTACAGGAAAACTGTCAGTATTTATGACTATTAGTCATTCAAAAGAACCTGTTACAAGATTCAAAAACATTTCACCCATGACCTTGAAAGTTGATCAAGGTCATTAAGTTGAACAAATGTTATAGCCCATCATCTCAGGATGCTACTGGCTAAATATCAACATTCAAGGCCTTTTGGTTATTCAGAAGATATCGTTTAAAGATTTAAAACAAATTTGACCCCTGTGACCTTGAATATAAGTCAAAGTCATTCACTTTAACAGACTTGGAAACCCTTGATCCCAGCATGCTACTGACTAGATATCAACATAATGTGTCTTTTAATTATTCAGAGGTGTTAAAGATTTTAAACAAACTTGACCCCTGTGACCTTGAAAATAATTCAAGGTCATTCATTTGAACAAACTTGGTAGCCCTTCATCTCAGCATTCAGCATGCTGACTGGCCAAATATCATCATCCTGGGCCTTTTGGTTATTCAGAATAAGTTTTTTCTTTTTCTTTTTTTAGACAATTGACCCCTGTGATCTTGAATATAATTCAAGGTCATTCATTTGAACAAACTTGGTAGCCCTTCATCCCAGCATGCTACTGGCTAAATATTATACCCAAGGACATATTGGTTATTCAGAAGAAGCTGTTTAAAGATTTTAACATATTTGACACCTGTGATCTTGAATATGGGTTTAGGTTATTCATTTGAAAAACTTGGTAGCCCTTCATCTCAGCATGCTACTGGCCAAATATCATCACCCTGGGCTTTTTGGTTATTAAGAAGTTGTTTAAAGTAAAATATTGATGCTGGACAACAAACGGACGATGGACGCCGCAGCACGGCATAGGGTCACTTGGCCCTTTCGGCCAGGTGAGTTAAAAACAATCTGACACATGATTAATGTAACTTCTGAACACTACAGCAACCTGACCAGGAACCAGGAGTGATAGGGGTGCATTGTTGTACACTGCCCCTGGGATCAGCTTGGTTTAAAGTCAATTTTGTTAACACCATGACACTATTAGCAACTTTCATTAAATCAAACGCATTATTAAATACTAAATATGTCCAATGTCCAGTTAACTTTATATTGATAACCAACACTGATAAGAATCCATTCGGATCCATTGTGATTTTCAAAATAAATAATTCACTCATCCCTGAGAGGCAGTTTTGAAAAATCTGGGAAAATTGACATGCCAAATAAAACACGAGTTTCAAAGATTTTAATCTGTCATCAAGTTGTACAGAATCACATGTTAATGGCATATAATCATTTAAAAAAATATAGTAAAGGGAGGCAACTGTGTTGCTTTCCTCACATGCTTGTGATTTAATGAGTTTATTGACATGCAAAAACTATTGTAAACAATATCATGCTGAAAAAGGTAGCTGTGCATCAGTGTGATAAGTATTTGACAAAATAAGAAGTCATTAAGGCTATTGTAACAATCACTCTTTTCCATCTATTTATCAGAATTGATAATCCCCATTTATAATCTCAGTATCAGCAGAAGCCAGCGTTTCCTTGTTATGTTCCATACCCTAGGAGTTTTTAAGCTGTTAAAACATGGACCTGATTAAATGTGTTTTTCATATCTCTCGAGTATCAACAACTGCTGCTGACACGTTAGAGGTGTTAGGATATTAATTCAAACTGGAGAATGGTTTGATATTAGAAAAAAAAGTTTAACGACAATTAGGCAATCCCTGCTGAAATAAGCTGACTTTTCTCTCAGTGATTTTCTTTTAGCCTGTTTGGGTTTACTGACATCATAATTTATGTTAAAAAAAAATAATTGATACAATAGGACAAGACAGGAGAATTTTTATCATAACTGTAGTTTTTAAACACTCTCAAAGTCCAATGATTATTATTTTTTTGAAACAAAAAGAAGGAAAATTGTTTTGTATTTAAGTCCTTAAATGTAACTATATCAAATTTAAATTAATAAATAAGCAGAATAGAAACATGAATTTCAGCAGGGCTTGTTAAGGAGGGTAAAGTTTTGCTGAGGAAAGAGTATGTTTCCATCTTGTTTAACTTACCACAACACATGTCAGGTCTGAGATAGACTGAGGGGTGACAAAAAACACACACAGTTACACACACGTACACACATACCTTGCAACGCCCCCGACTGCGCCTGGTTACCAGGGTGACCTGGCCAGTGTCGGATGGGCAGTGCAGGTTCTTATCATAAACGACCATCAATTGTACAGAGGACCAGAATTATCATTAAATCACACTTATAAAATAAAGAATGCTTTTTTAATTAAAATATTTCTTAATGCTCATTATAATTAGGAACTTTAAATTAATAAACAAATCAGCATTATAAATCTGAATGTTTTCTTACAACCACATGCTTTCTCTGTTTACTACTCAGAAGTTACTTATAAAGTAGACATGCCTTACAAGATGATGGGCAGTATCATGCTGGTACATGTTATAAAAGGCTAATTCTTGCTAAAATTCTATAATGGTATTATTCTCTATTTGGAGAAAAACTATTAGAAATTAGTTTTTGTTACATCATCCGGTGAACACCAAACAAGACAGGGGGTATACAAGGTTAAAGAGCCGAGTTTTGAAGATTCATTTTCATACAATTAAACTAAAGTGGAATTGAAAAAACACCCAACAATTTCATAAATATATTGATGGGGAATGATCCATTGACATATTTCAACTATAATTCACAAGAGAGAACCAACAGACAAACAAGAAACATCAACAAAGGAATTGTCCCAACTGTTGGAAAAGAGACATTCAACAACAAGAAGCACATTGAGCTTTGATGGCTCACCTGGTCTATTTTCACCTATTTAATGATACCTGTTGTTACAAATTTGAGTCTTGTTACCTTGAATGCAGGTTAAGGCCACTCATTTTAGCACACTTCCTAGTCCTTCACCTCAACTTTTAACACATTTGACCAATGTGACAAATGCATTGTATATCTCTTCAGCAAAGCAAGGTCGGCCTTATTCTGTTATCTTGATGGGCTTTGTTCAAGGTCCAAAGATACTAGGATAGATATTAACAACTTCAAAGGGACATTCTCATTCCAAACTAGAGTTTCTACTATCTAGATCTCCAGGTCAGATTTAACATAAAAAGTTATAAACTAGGACGATTGCTAGAGAGCAGTGTTGAGTCTACAGGTCGTGGTATAAATGTGGGATTCCATCAGCATTGACTGGTTACTTAAATCTACACATTCAAGAACTCCACAAATTCAGTCAAAATAATTTTTTTTTTTCCAAAAGGGCTTATGTTTGGTTTTTGACAAGTTTGGTTAATACTGCAGAATCCCTGAAAGGCTTTCAATAACTTTGTATGGAAATATTGTTTAATTGATGTTTTAAAATTTACAAAATGTTAACTGTATAGTGGGAAACCGAAATCCATTCCAGGCTGATGGACAGAAACCCCCCAGAATGAAGCCATCACAGCTTGCTAACTGTGGATTGGGATAGTGACCCCTGTGTGACCTCTGGTGATCTGACATATACCTGTACAACAGAAGCCTGGCCTACCGATATGCACATCCAGTGTGATATGATCCGCACAATGAAACCTAGATAGGAGGACTAGAGAAAAAGTCAGAGATAATTTATAAAGATGGGGTTAAAACACAGCTTAAGATGTAATGCCAAAGTATAGAGACCCAGTCTGATTTACTACTAGCATTTGTAAGGATCCTCTTATGTGACACTTGGTATCTCAAATACATACACATACTAACACAACTGACTGATGTAACGGTGGGGTAAATTACAACAGACTCATCTGACTGGGGTACCAGTGGGAGTAAGACTCATCTGACTGGAGTACCAGTGGGAGTAAGACACATCTGACTGGGGTACCAGTGGGAGTAAGACACATATGACTGGAGTACCAGTGGGAGTAAGACTCATCTGACTGGGGTACCAGTGGGAGTAAGACACATCTGACTGGAGTACCAGTGGGAGTAAGACACATCTGACTGGGGTACCAGTGGGAGTAAGACACATCGATCTGGGTTACCAGTGGGAGTAAAACACATCTAACTGGAGTACCAGTGGGAGTAAAACACATCTGACTGGGGTACCAGTGGGAGTATGACACATCTGACTGGGGTACCAGTGGGAGTAAGACACATCTGACTGGGGTAGCAGTGGGAGTAAGACACATCTAACTGGGGTACCAGTGGGAGTAAGACACATCTGACTGGAGTACCAGTGGGAGTAAGACTCATCTAACTGGAGTACCAGTGGGAGTAAGACACATCTAAATGGGGTACCAGTGGGAGTAAGACTGAGGTACCAGTGGGAGTAAGACACATCTAACTGGAGTACCAGTTGGAGTAAGACATTATTTGATTAAGGTTACACTAAAAAACCCAGGATTTGTTTCATTATCATAATTTTTCAATATTCAGGAGAATGGAACAAAACAGAACTTTAAATTGTTGCATATTCATGTTATTGGACAAATATTAATCATACACTTAGATTATCTTTAGAAATAAGAGGGAAATAAATCAACATTACATACTACTATTGAATTACAAATAATGCGAGTGCAGCAATACGATTAGTCAATATTAACATGGTCTAATTATCACCCCTCTTTTGTTTGAACATCAATTTTAAGCATGTGTAGCACAAACTTCTCTGAGTACAAAATAAATACAAGGCATACACTTTAACTAGTTGGCTGCCTTCTTGTTCATGAAGCTAACTTAATACACAACAGAGAAATACTTCAACTATTCAGTGTTTGGTAAGGTGAGATGCCAAATTAAAAAGAAGTTTTCAATTTTTGTTTTAACAAGAATATGACACATTAATATCATAACATTGTAACTTTTGAACAATTTTAAGACGAATGTATGAGGTGTCTTAAGGCCATGTCCTTCCCAATAACAGCTGACCTCTCCTGTTAATACACTGTACCACATGCCTGATCATAGACTGGCTACCAGACCCTTTATGAAGAATTTCGCTGCTGCATTTTACTACTAGCTTATCTCCCCCTAGTTTAGAACTTAGAATCAGACATCCAAGTGATCAAAATATTTTGAGTTTAACTTTTTTCTTAATAATTCAATATTTTCAAAATTCTAGAGATGGTGGCCAGTCTTGCCTGCTCACTTCCTTACCGATCAGAGAACACAGGTAATTATTCTACATGGGTGAAATGATCACAATCTGTCAGAAGACTTACGCATTGATAAGGCTGATCTAACGCTTTTATGTCATTGTTTTTATTTAAATAGAAAAAAGAAAAAAGAAATTAGAGCAGTTACCCTTGTGTTACAGTGTACAACATGGCAGTTGAAGTGTTTCCTATCAACAACAAACAACAACAACCAAAAAAGAAGCTCCAAAACCCTTCCACTCGACTTCTCATTCCCAATTTCCAGAATGAAGATAACTTTCAGTTTATTATCGTGTGTTTAGTTAATTGAAACTGAAAGATTTTCTTATCTGTCTTCAAGAAATTGGGAACAACACTATGCTAAGCATTCCTCAAGGAATTAATCAGATAACACCACTGAATCAATTAAAAGTCAACTCACTATGGGAAATCAGGTAAAACTGTAGGAAACTAAACGTCTATCTGTCAATGATGTAGGAACCTAGATGTACATGGTCTGGGGAATCTAAGTAAATGATAAAGGGAATCTATCAGTAGTAAAGATGAAAGGGATCTGTCAGTTTATGATGTTGGAATTTCTCTGTAAATGATGTGGGGAATTAACCTACATACGAAAGAATTGTCTGGTTCACAACATACATAAGAGCAATGTATGTTGAAAATTTTGAGAATTAAACAAGATCGGCTCAATGGGCCTGAATTGCTCACCTGTTATTCATCTTACACATGTAATCTTTAAGTGGACTAAAATACAGCTACAGGCAAAATACCCGTGTTTGATTCAAAAGAATCTGTTAAAAGATTTAAACATGTGACCCATGTGACCTTGAAAGTCAAACAAGGACATTAAGTTGAACAGACTTTATAGCATTTCATACCAGCATACTTCTAGCCAAATTAAATTTACCGGAACCTTTAGATTATTCAGAAGCTGTTTTAAGATTTCATCCTATTTGACCCCTGTGACCTTGCAAATGGGTGAAGGTCATTCATTTGAACAAGCTTGGAAGTATTTCGTCAAAGCAAATTACTGGCCAAATATCGTCGCCCTAGGCCTCCTGGTTATTCAAAAGAAATTGTTAAAAAGGTTTTAAACAAACTTGACCCCAGTGACCTGGAATATAATTCAAGGTCATGTTTTTGAACAAACTTGGTAGCTTTTCATCCCATCATGTAACTGGCCAAATATCATCACCCTAGGCCTCTTGGTTATTCAGGAGAAGTTGTTTTAAAGGTTTTAAATATATTTGAACAAACTTGGTAGCCCTTCATCCCAGCATGTTACTGGCCAAATATCATCACCCTAGGCCTCTTGGTTATTCAGAAGAAGTTGTTTAAAGGCTTTACACATATTTGACCCCTGTGACCTTGAATATGGGTGAAGGTCATTCATTTGAACAAGCTTGGTAACCTTCATCGCAGCATGTTACTGGCCAAACATCTTCATCCTAGGCCTTTTGGTTACCGAGAAGAAGTTGTTTACAGTAAAAAGTTGGCGCCGCACTATGGCATTAGCTCACTTGCCTTTCGGGCAGGTGAGCTAAAAAGAAAGAAAACCTAACATTAACTTCATTTAGGGCCAAACACTAAAAACTGAAGATGGTTTCAGTCAATTATTGTTGAAATAACTCCATAAACATGACGGAAAAAATGTTTATGGGATTTACACTTTGGCCATTTTTTGGGCTCCATTCGGAGTCTAAGAAATAAGACATGAAAGGAAAAAGCTCTTGCATTTACAGTCCTTCAGAAGAAGATTTTTAGAACACTTACTGAACCTGCTTAAATCAACCCATTGGACTTAAGAAGTTGTTGACAATATCAAGTTGTTAAGGGATTACACATGAGGACAAAGACAGGTGGCAATATGTCACCTGATAAAGTACATTCTGATTATGAAAAGCTCCTGAGGAAAAAACAGTAATTTATCATTAAAGATTAATTTTATCACCAACAACTCTACATTATAAAACAATCTTTGGTTATATAGACAAGTCTACAGCTAGAATCTGTCAAGCCAGCCATTCCTGAAACAATCTTAACATTCAGCCACAATTTTTTCAGTCTGTCATTTTCTAAACTTTTGTGTAGGATCTTTTTCTATCACATTTTAAAGTTCACCAACCATTGAGACAATTTTAGAGACTGACAGATACAGTTTCGCATGAATAAGCTCTATAATCTCTGTACTTATATCAAGTACTATCTAACAGTTAGACAAAAATGTCCATGCTGTACGGTTTTAAATTTTACCTTTTAGAAGAATTGGTGATCATAAAACTGTGACATTAAATAATCAGTGAATCTGGCTTTATTGTGGAAAAGTGTGATAGGCTGTGATGAATGTGATTTTTTGTTGGAGAACGTTAAAAATGTTTACTGACTGGCAGGTGTGGTATTTGTGAGAGTTAGGAAGGGTTTTGGTCCAGCAACCAAAAACTAATTAAGTAGGGTGAGCAGAAGCACCTCCTCCATTCGTTTCCTCCATTGACGCCACGCTCTGAGCCTTCTGAAGTTTACGATTGCCTTGCGACCTTGTCCGCTTCAGCTCGGGAGGATGTGGCCGTTTTTGCTTTAAGCAGGTTGGACTCATACACACACCATTTATCTAGTAACAAAGTTGTGGGGAGAAAAAAAAGGACAAAAAAAAATAATTGAAAATAATTTCTCACCACCAAAATAACACCTGTTGATATCTAGCAAGTTCTCATCTGGAAGTTCTTAGTAAACAAAAAAAAATTAGAACTTCCTCATGAAAATTTGCAAAAAAATGAATGAACTTCTTAAATACAATACCTGATGCATAACTGTACACCTAACATTAGTATGAAGTTAGTTATAAAAAGAGGTTCGAGGGGAGATATATATACATACCCCTACTACAGTTATATCTATATACTACCAGGGACGGGAAAACCAAGGCTAACTCGGGAAACACGCACCAAAAGGATGGGAAAACAAAGGCTAAAACTCAGGTAACACAAGGACAGGTAAATTAAGAATACAGATTTAAGCCGTCACACACAAAATGAAGGGAGGTAATACAAAGGAGCATGCGTCTATTTGTAGGTATCATGCCATCTAATCTGAAGGATTGATCAATCACCCTTCACCCTACATACAGATTGTCTTCAGCAAGTACAGTCAACCTTTAAGAATGAATGAAGTTGGTAATATTTTTGTTTCCCGATTATTTCCTATTTTGGTTATGATCCCAGATTTGCCTTCCAGTTGACAGAGATCGTAATGCTGAAGACAACATTCTACAAACTGATCTACCCTCTACAACTAGAATGAGAAATAACACACGTTAGTCCTATGTCAGACGTCGTGCCGAGTTTAGTGCATGCATTTACAAGTTTGGGCCACATTCGCTTACCCTGAAAAATCCAAGAGAAAAAAGAAGAGATGGAAAAATATATATAAGGAAAAAGAACAACCGCATTTACATACAATCAAACAAACAGTACAATGACATGATCATTAGTCGTGTGCAATGAAGATTATAAATACATATTGTATATATAAACAAGCTCCAGGGCAAGTCATCCAACCAAAATATGAGGGGTTATAAGAGAGCAAATATAGGACGAGATGCTGAAACGACAGAAAGATGGTGTGAGAAAAGGTGAGTTATTTAGTTTGCTAGCAGCTATATCGTCAGCAGTAGACATACCCATCCCGCCTCCGTGGCATATTTCTTGAACAGACATCTGACGAATGACGGTATTGCCTTTATCATCTGAGAGGTCAATGACCTCTATCTTTGGCCTTGTCCGCTCCTCATTCTCTTTGCCTAGCACTATGGATTTGACCTTAACACTCATCCTACGTAGGAAGCCCCCAGAGTGAATACCAGGGTCTACATCAGAAGTGTCTCCATGAGAGTCGACATCCTCCCTCCCTTCGTCCCCCGAGTTGTCAGGGTGGGGGTCTATTTCTATGTTTGTCAATGACAGATCATTCAGATTTGGGGGTTTGACTTTTGACTTCCTTCGGGAAAACTTAAATCCTTTCATTGAAAGTTTTCGATGTCTGTGATGATCTTTATAAACATCTTCCGAGGATGTTGTTTCCACTTCGATTTCAGGGTCAGAGCATGATCTCTCTCGAATCACTGCAGTGCTGTCCTGGTTTGGCACAAGGTCCAGAGCTTGTCTGACACAACTTGGGTCAGACAGAGTTTTGCAGGCTGGTTGTTTCTTCACAACCTTCAATGCATTCTCAGAATGAGACTTATGGGGTTTTAGCAAGGAGAAATGCAGGTGTTGTTTTGCGTCTGGCATAGAGATCCGGCGATGCCTGGGGGGCCTGGTGGGTACTGATTCGTCAGCAATGTTTTCTAATTCCTGCAACATGGACTGGTCCTGCATGTTGGCACTCATCTCTTTGTTGTTATTGTCCAGATCTTCTGCCATTGTAGCTTTCTCTGCACAATCAATGTCTTTAAGGAAAAATTTAGTTTCTTTGTGAGCGCTATCCTGAGTAGAACTCTCCTGTATGGCAGTGAGACCAACATCAGGATGGGAGTGTTTTTTCTTTCTTGATAGGTTGGGGTTTGGGCTGGAGGGGGGGCTAGACTGAAAACATCAGAAAATAAAACAACAATGGAAAACAAAATTGAAATCAAACCAAAATGAAAATGAAAATAAATAAAATTATAATCAGTGCTTTAAAAACGATAAAAACTAAGCAAAGCACGTTGAGCAGGTTAACATAAGGTAAAGGTGCAATGTGTGTTCTACTGGGTAGGCCAACAATACAAAAAATATTTCTGATTAAAGATGAAAACATTCTTGGATGATGTAGGGCTAAGCGAGCTATAAGCACATCGAGACATTGCTACATACATACATCCACATTATATAGAAGCATGGTAACAAGGAATAAATAAACTGAAAATCCTAAACAAAAATATCCCTGGCAATATAACTGTTTTTTTCCATTCCTATGCAGATAAATCCTAATGAGACAATTCTTTGAAAATATTATAACAATAAAAGAATCACCGATAATGAAAGCTTTAAAAAAAATCATAATTGTATATCAAAACTGTTATGCATCTAAAAGCCAGCAAATAGAAAGAATCAATAAATCAAATAATAATTTGAAGCTGCCAAAAAAAAAAATTAATAGAAAGTATGAGAACCCCTGAAGGACTGGAGTTGTCTCCCTTGGAATAGGAGTTTCTTCATTGAAGATGATTTCACACACTTCTAAACATGTCTAAACACATCAGTCAACAGAAGCAACATTTCATAATGCAGCATGATAAGGTATAAACCTATAGCATAAGGTTTTAAGTGTTAGATGATAAACAAGCCTGAAAACTTGTCCAACAATTTCGTTTGATCACAGAACAAACATAAATATTATCAACATTAACTCAATTTTATCCTTGTCGGTCACCTCAAAGGGGTACAACAATGGTAATAAATAAAACTGCTCTAGAGAAGCCATGTACACAGGTGATCTACCAGTATAGGTGGTGTGAACGGCTCTGGACTGAACTATGTGCTGTTTAATCTCCAGATCTATCTATAAATGCCATCAAATCACTTGCTCATATTGTCGTAGCTATTTGCCATTGTGGACAGTGTACATTTTGGATATTTCTTTTCATGGCATTTTTAATGTACTATCTATAAGTTAATTATCATGAATTTGGTTGTAAGGTGAATTTCTGAATTGATCACGACAGGGACTGTTTCTAGTCAAGTAGCACTACCTACCCTACAAAGACAAAACTGTAAAGTCACCAATGCATGAATAATAACACCTAACCTATACTACACAAACCCAAGTCATAACACCTAACCTATACTACGCAAACCGAAGTCATAACACCCAACCTATACTACACAAACCAAAGTCATAACACCTAACCTATAATACACAAACCCAAGTCATAACACCTAACCTATACTACACAAACCCAAGTCATAACACCTAACCTATACTACACAAACCCAAGTCATAAAACCTAACCTAAGATATAGCCATGTTGTTACATTAGTATGATAAGTGCATTTTAGTATAACAAGGTGACGAAATGTTTGGGAGTCACTAGTGTGTCAATGAATGGATTACACTAAGTGTGTGATACAGGATCTCTTACCTAATGACAATATCATATTGGTACAAAACAAGTGTGAAATAGAAGTGATACCAGTCAGGTACAGATGGAAATAAGCTTAGTGATAATCCTGAATATTGATTTGTTTTGAAATAAATATAAGCCAAGTGATAATCCCCGTATGTTGATTTGTTATGAGATAAGATAAGTGATAATCCCTGAATGTTGATTTGTTATGCTGTGAATGCTCACACAGGATTTCCTACATGTGTTAGTGGGATGAAATGTTAGTCGACATCCCAGGATGAGTTAAGGAATGGTCCCATGCACTGTATTCTACAAGGTAACAAGCTTAAGAATCCTCCTAGGTTCCATAGCACCGGTCAATGTCTACATTTTCTCAGACAGTGTAGATTATTCTTTCAAAAACATCGACACTGAAATCTAGGGTAACTGTTAGTATTCACGCCATTCTGTACCCCACAAGTGTGTACCATGGAATTTATTACAACTAAAAAGTAAAACTTAACCTATTTTGAAATTATATTTGTGATCAAACTGAATTGTTGAATGATGTAACAAGGCTTCAAAATGCATTTGTAACTTATTTCAAGACAATATGTTTTATTTTCAGTTAACTGAAATCATTGATACAAGAATACCTCTTAAGTCTTTTAATAATCTTATTAATGGCAAGCAGTCTAATGGCTTAGTCCTACTGGACTTGGTATAATTTTTGGTTGTATATTAAATAAGGCCAGATGCACGTGTCTGTCAGCAAGTGTTGTAAACTTGGTCTCGTAAGATTAACAACTTAGGTGTTTTAGTACTGAATCCCTTACGACAAGTTTATATCAGTACCTTAGAACACTGAATCAGTTACAATAATAGCGATCAGTTTTACTGTTTCGTTCAGGATAAAACTCATACCAAGTGTTAATAGAGGTTAATTTTCTCAATGATATTCAGCTGTTATTTATAACTTTATCCAATGTAGTCCTAACTGATCTTACCGGATATAAGTTTATTCAATGTAATCCTATATCTTGTATATTATCGACAAACAACTCCCAATTTATACTGGACTCTTGCTTATTCATTAAACAGTCTCTAGAACTGAGGAGAGTGGGCTTGCTGACAGTATAAGGTATGTACTTTGCAGCTAAAAATGTTTAAATCAAATTTTCTATTTGAAGCTATGTTAATTTTGTTCATGTTAATGTATATTAGAAATATAAGCAATCACTTTGCGACTTTTCTACATGTACATGTGTATGTATATATATTTCACTGTGTTTTTCTATTTTGCCTTCAAACTACTTTGTAGTTACAAATGTGCAAATAAAATTTCGAATTTCGAATTTATAACTTAATTCAATAAACCTCTACTATAGGTCTAGTCTGAATTGATCCAGAACAGCTGCTCATAGTTTAATTCAAAGTAAAACAATCTTTTTCCAATTTCTTTTTGTTAAACATTCTTTAGACCAGAATGTAAAGATATTCCTTGGAGTATTGATATTGTATGTTAAAGATCTGGATAATTCATACTGATTGTAAAGGAAGCTTCGCCTCAGTAATGTAACATTAGAATTATTTTTACCATGGATTTCATTTAATAATACATGAACTTCTTTAGTTTTGTTTAAAAGTTTGATTTCCCAATTAATGAATATGAAAACAAAATGTATATTATCTGAATTAGATATAAAGCAGCATTCGGAACCCTTGGGTCAATTAATTGTAACTGTTAACATCATTTCAGCATGCCCTACGCTACTAGAAAGTTGCCCACTTACTTGATCATTGATGGGTGAGCGACACCCGTCTTCTGTTCCTGATCCCTCCGTATTTGGCTGGGGGAACTTTTTGCCCCTAGGGGACCGAGGAGCCCGCTGATAGGGGTCCATAGACCCTTTGGAAAAATACAAGTATTTCTTTTATCAGTATCAAACAATCTATACTTCACCTTGCCTTTCAGAGCAGCAAGATTTTCAACCAATACTTCTGACACTAGCTATTGATTTTTGGAGGCAAGTTTTCATACAAATACTGGATGACCTTTCGTATTCTCATGGAATCGTAACATTTCATTTCCTAATCGCTCTCTTGGGTTATGGAGTCACAAACCCCAGTGTTTTTGTACAGTTCATAGAGGACTATAGTGGTGCTGTGACTGCTTAATCACAGGGTCAATTACTGAATGAATATCTGTGACTGCTTAATCACAGGGGCAATTACTGAAGGAATATCTGTGACTGCTTAATCACAGGGCCAATTAGTGGAGGAATATCTGCGACTGCTTAATCACAGGGCCAATTACTGGAGGAATATCTGCGACTGCTTAATCACAGGGGCAATTACTGGAGGAATATCTGCGACTGCTTAATCACAGGGCCAATTACTGAAGGAATATCTGCGACTGCTTAATCACAGGGCCAATTACTGAAGGAATATCTGTGACTGCTTAATCACAGGGTCAATTACTGAAGGAATATCTGTGACTGCTTAATCACAGGGTCAATTACTGAATGAATATCTGTGACTGCTTAATCACAGGGGCAATTACTGAATGAATATCTGTGACTGCTTAATCACAGGGCCAATTAGTGGAGGAATATCTGCGACTGCTTAATCACAGGGCCAATTACTGGAGGAATATCTGCGACTGCTTAATCACAGGGGCAATTACTGGAGGAATATCTGTGACTAACATCTCAATGTACAGTTACACAACTAACTAATGTTTATTGTGCTTTAATATCGTGATGGAGAAAGAAGGTGAATGTATTTTATTTTAAATCATATTCAAAACATTTAGAAATTTGGACATTTCCACGTCTTATCTTAAAAGTCCAATTTTGCCCAAAAAAAAGATTATGATTGGCTTTTTTTAAAACAGAGGTTGTCAGCAGATAACATTTCTTGATATTCTATTTTTCCTAGGGTTCTTTACAAACACCACAGAGTTAGGGAGAACATAGATTTCTCCGTTGTGACATTCCACTTACCATATAAATCAGGTGTCCCCAAATTTAACAAACATGTTTTCTGCAGGAAATCAATTATTGCAAGCCCAGATTCATTACCAAATGCAAGTCTGTAATGAAACAACAACACAAATAACACACAAGTCTAGGTTTTAACAGAACATGCTGGGTATTAACAGTAGAGCTCAATCATCAGACCAGTACCAACTCTTTATACAGAATGTCTAACACAAAGGTCAGAAATGTTCTAAAATAACAAAATGTTCATCTTTTCATGTTCATTTTAAGAAATAGTTTAAATGTGATTCTCTGCCTGATGGGCGTTTCTTAAACATACAACAGCAATTCTTGCTACAGGCCAGATGTCAAAATAATAACAGGAAATTACATCTACAAGCAAAACCAGCTCAGAATAATCTAGTCTTAACATCAATTATCTGCCATTTCTGACATCAATATTACTTGTACTTGTTACAGCCAATGTTTTCAGAAAGTAAATTTACAACTGTAACATATTGCAGATATCAACTCAGACAGGCCATGCTGATGTTGATGCTAATTTATTTACATTACTACCAGGCCCTGTCTTATGATCATTCTATACACATTGAAAGGCCCAGTCCATGTATATATTGACTTTATTAACATAAACAGGCCGGTCTATGTGTATGTTGTTGTTTTTTTTCACTTTTTTTTTTTTTTTTTTTCCAAATATTTTATTTTATTTCTATGTGTATGTTGACTTTTATATACATAAGCAAGCTCTAGGTTCTAAACGGCAGGTGGACACCCTGTTGGTGTACATACATGTTATTTGCTCCATACAAAGCCCTGAAGCTGCACCTGTACTTACAAACCATAGGAAGAGTTCACAGAGATGTTTGTGATATTGCCTGGGTGTTCGTTGTCCAGCCAGTTAAGCAGACACACAAGATCGGGATAGAAACCTGCATTGTACTTCTTGCTGCCCGGCCGCACCTTTAATGACGTGCCCGTCTCTATCTGCAATACAACACAAACGTGTGTAAAACAATAACAATGTTACGTCAATCAATACCAACACAAACGTGTGTAAAACAATAACAATGTTATGTCAAACAATACAACACAAATGTGTGTAAAACATTAACAATGTTATGTCAAACACTAAAACACAAACAAATATTTATAAAGTGTGAATTGTATCGACTCCCTGTCGGTTTGGTATGTGGTAATATGGAGCCCTGTTAAATGAATAACTAATACAAATTTGTTTTTACCAAGGTACATGATGGATTTCTCTGTAAAAAGGTATTCTCATCTAAATCTTCACACTTTTCAATGTCATTTGTTGGGGACATAATTCATTTCCACAAACATACAATGAATCAGACAGCACCTTTTTATATGAAACATACAAATGCTTCTGAATGTCAGACATAAAAAAAAAGTAAAAATTCACCAAAATTTATTTCATGCATTTTTTTTTCAAGATTAAACCTTCACCAAACTACATTTTGTGAGAGGAATGCTTTAGTAAAGAATCACCAGCTGTTAATTGTAAAATAATTGCCATCACATGCTGTATATTGTAAGGGAAATGTCATCACATGCTGTAAATGGAATAACAACTGTTGCCAAAATGGTAGACTTAAATCACGTGCATGAGAAAAGAACTAAAGGAATAGATCTTTAGATAACATTTTGAAATAAAGGGGTGTATTTCAATAAATAAGTGAGGTAACTCCAATTTATATTTTTTCTATCCTCATCCTCTCAATGCAAGTGTAAAATATACTAAGTATCATTCAAATTGGTGCAGTACTTATGGAGGATTAGTGTGAACAAGGTTTTTAAACAAAGGGACATAATTCCATCATAACGGAGGGAACACTAAATGATATATAATATTGAAATCTCCTTGATGTAAGAGTTTTCTGTACCAATGTCATTCAAATTAATGCAGCACTTGGAAGGAGTAGTGCGAACAATGTTTTTAAACAAAGGGACATCACTCCCATAGAAACGCAACATTTCAATATTAATCACAGGTGCATGACTTCAAATTGTGTTGACTGCATCAGTGAAGTTTCGCAACATTTGGCTAAAAACTATAAGAGTTGTACAGACAAGATTGTGTTGGCTAACTTTTGTTAAAAGGGACATAACTCCTTTAACAAGCCATTCAGATTAATATGTCTCGCCTATGCCCCGCTTTGACCATCAATGCACATATCAGAGAAACTGACTTAAACGCAAAAACTTAATGTTGATGGAGATGCTGACAAAGTCAATGGACCATGAAAGGTAGGCCGCATCCAGCATTTGATGCATGGGTTGAGATGTACTACCTCAGATATATCTATGGTCCAACACTTATACTTTCAGAGAAACTAATTTATATAAAATGCAAAAACTTAATGTTGATGGAGATAATATTGACGCCTTCGCTGGAAAAGCAACACCTAAGTCTCGCTTCCACTTCGTGGCAGTGAGACAAAAAAGGCCGAATCAAAATATGATATTTAGGTACATAAGTTGTGACCGAGTTGATGACATCAGTAAAGTTTCAAGAAATTCAGTTGTTCAAAAAACTGTAGGAGTTATGTAGACAATATTGTGTCTACAGGTAGACAGACCGACAACCCAATTCCAGTATACCCCCCTTAACTTTACTGAAGGATGCATAGAAGATAATGGCCATCACATGCTGTATACTGTAAGATATATTGTCGTCATCACATGCTGTATATTGTAAGATATATTGACATCTGCACATGCTGTTTATTGTAAGATATATTGACATACTCTATACCTGTATTACAAGATACACTGCCAAACTAAATGTGGCTATCAACAAGAGTAATTATAGTGAACAGTGTTACACTAACATGTCATTAAATCCAACCGTTTAAGTGCAGGGCTGATAAAACAAGCGTTGTGGGGCTGCACTAACACGGTAAAAAAATTCATACACTTAATTCTGCTGCCTGCAGTTCCAATATTAAAGACAAAATTGAGTCAGACTGAAATGTCCAAAAACAAAACAAGCAGGTTGATCAGTACCAAGCAAAGTGGAATTGGTTCGCACCACCACAATTGTTTGTGGCATACACGTATAAGGTTGGATATAGTACTAAACTTACTCTACTGGAGCAGACATTCAGCAAGGTGTTGGGGTGCGTGGCGACTACTTACTTTGTTACTTACTTTGACGCTGTCTGAAGTGTTACTGGAGTAGGAACCCATACTACCGCTGTGTTGTTGCTGGCTCACCACCGCCAAACTGGGTTTGGGGTAGTCATAATCCGGGGAGTCTAGGTCATCAAACACCTCGTATATAATGGAGATATCTAACCCCTGTGTCAACATCAAACATAAGTGTGAGGGCAGGAAGACATGGTATTGGACTGTGTTGACTACTGAAGAAAATTGATGTTTATAACTTATATAAATTAGCAGTCTGGTTATTGTGGGATTGTCAATCCCTTACAATTCTATAAGTGATCTATCCAAGCATTCAATCCCAAAGAACTTTGTTATGTATTTCATTTCCTTGGGTAATTCCTTAGAGCCATTTATTTTTTTATATAATGGACTACTTTGATGCAAAATTCTTACTGTCCTACCAATTTTAAATCAAAATAACACAATATTTCACTTGTACTGGACTGCAATGAAAAGTGACATATATTTGCATGACTTGATTGATTTTTTTGTCCATAATGGCGATTCTGGTAGACTACACAATTAGGATAGGAGTAGTCAAAATATTGTCCAGTATATACTAGACAACAGGGTCAATGGTGAGAATTTAATGCTCTGCATTTAATTCATTTCCATTAATTCGAGAGGTGAACTTATCTCTGGAAGTAAGTCCAGTGCTCATTTCAAACCAATGACCAGGTTCCCAGGCAGATTGTTGGTAAAACAGTAACAGTATATACTTGGTACTCATTTTACACCACATTCTATAACTACTAACCAGTCATCCAGCGTAATGTTGGTAAAACAGCAACAATATGATGTGTTGATATCTATATCTGGTAGTGTGATGTGTTGATACCTTTATCTGGTAGTGTGATGTGTTGATATCTACAGATATCTATAACTGGTAGTGTGATGTGTTGATCTCTATATCTGGTACTGTGATGTGTTGATACATATATCTAGTAGTGTGACGTGTTGATACATATATCTGGTAGTGTGATGTGTTGATACCTATGTCTGGTAGTGTGATGTGTTGATATCTACAGATATCTATAACTGGTAGTGTGATGTGTTGATCTCTATATCTGGTAGTGTGATCTGTTGATATCTATAGATATCTATAACTGGTAGTGTGATGTGTTGATCTCTATATCTGGTAGTGTGATCTGTTGATATCTATAGATATCTATAACTGGTAGTGTGATGTGTTGATCTCTATATCTGGTAGTGTGATGTGTTGATGCCTATATCTGGTAGTGTTATGTGTTTATATTTATATCTGGTAGTGTGATGTGTTGATATCTATTTCTGGTAGTGTGATGTGTTGATACATATATCTGCTAGTGTGATGTGTTGATACATATATCTAGTAGTGTGATGTGTTGATAGCTATATCTGATAGTGTGATGTGTTGATATCTATATCTTGTAGTGTGATGTGTTGATATCTATATCCGGTAGTGTGATGTGTTGATACATATATCTTCTAGTGTGATGTGTTGATATCTATATCTGATAGTGTGATGTGTTGATATCTATATCTAGTAGTGTGATGTGTTGATAGCTATATCTGATAGTGTGATGTGTTGATATCTATATCTGGCAGTGAGATATGTTGTTACATATATCTGGTAGTGTGTTGTGTTGATACATATATCTAGTAGTGTTACTTGTTGATACCTATATCTGGTAGTGTGATGTGTTTATATCTATAGATATCTATAACTGGTAGTGTGAGGTGTTGATCTCTATATCTGGTAGTGTGATCTGTTGATATCTATAGATATCTATAACTGGTAGTGTGAGGTGTTGATCTCTATATCTGGTAGTGTGATCTGTTGATACATATATCTAGTAGTGTGATGTGTTGATATCTATAGATATCTATATCTGGTAGTGTGATGTGGTGATACATATATCTAGTAGTGTGATGTGTTGTTATCTATATCTAGTAGTGTGATGTGTTGATACATATATCTACTAGTGTGAGGTGGTGATATCTATATCTGGTAGTGTGATGTCTTGATATCTATATCTGGTAGTGTGATGTGTTGATACATATACCTGGTATTGTGATATGTTGATATCTATATCTAGTAGTATGATGTGTTAATATCTATATCTAGTAGTGTGATGTGTTGATACATATATCTTCTAGTGTGATGTGTTGATATCTATATCTGGTAGTGTGATGTGTTGATATCTATAGATATCTATAACTGGTAGTGTGATGTGTTGATCTCTATATCTGGTAGTGTGATGTGTTGATACATATATCTAGTAGTGTGATGTGTTGATATCTATATCTAGTAGTGTGATGTGGTGATACCTTTATCTGGTAGTGTGATGTGTTGATACCTATATATGGTAGGGTGATGTGTTGATACCTATATCTGGTAGTGTGATGTGTTGATATCTATATCTAGTAGTGTGATGTGTTGATACCTTTATCTGGTAGTGTGATGTGTTGATACCTATGTCTGGTAGTGTGATGTGTTGATATCTATATCTGATAGTGTGATGTGTTGATATCTATATCTAGTAGTGTGATGTGGTGATACCTTTATCTGGTAGTGTGATGTGTTGATACCTGATATCTATATCTGATAGTGTGATGTGTTGACATCTATATCTAGTAGTGTGATGTGTTGATACCTATGTCTGGTAGTGTGATGTGTTGATTCCTATATCTGGTAGTGTGATGTGTTGATCGCTATGTCTGGTAGTGTGATGTGTTGATACCTATACCTGGTAGTGTGATGTGTTGATACCTATATGTGGTAGTGTGATGTTTTGATACCTATATCTGGTAGTGTGTTCTGTTGATACCTATGTCTGGTAGTGTGATGTGTTGATCCCTATATCTGGTAGTGTGATGTGTTGATGCCTATATCTGGTATTGTGATGTGTTGATACCTTTATCTGGTAGTGGGATGTGTTGATACCTATATCTGGTAGTGTAATGTGTTGATACCTATATCTGGTAGTGTGATTTGTTGATTCCTATATCTGGTAGTGTGATGTGTTGATGCCTATATCTGGTGGTGTAATGTGTTGATACCTATATCTGGTAGTGTGCTGTGTTGATACCTATATCTGGTAGTGTGATATGTTCATACCTATATCTGGTATTGTGATGTGTTGATACATATATCTACTAGTGTGATGTGTTGATGCATATATCTACTAGTGTGATGTGTTGATACATATATCTACTAGTGGGATGTGTTGATATCTATATCTGGTAGTGTGATGTGTTGATCTCTATAGATATCTATATCTGGTAGTGTGATGTGTTGATTCCTATATCTGGTAGTGTGATGTGTTGATGCCTATATCTGGTATTGTGATGTGTTGATACATATATCTACTAGTGTGATGTGTTGATACATATATCTAGTAGTGTGACTTGTTGATACATATATCTGGTAGTGTGATGTGTTGATACCAATATCTGGTAGTGTGATGTGTTGATACCTCTATCTGGTAGTGTGATGTGTTGATACCTACATCTGGTAGTGTGATGTGTTGATACCTATTTCTGGTAGTGTGATGTGTTGATACATATATCTGCTAGTGTGATGTGTTGATATCTATATCTTGTAGTGTGATGTGTTGATACCTATATATGGTAGTGTGATGTGTTGATGCCTACATCTGGTAGTGTTATGTATTGATACCTATATCTGGTAGTGTGATGTGTAGATACCTATATCTGGTAGTGTGATGTGTTGAGACCTATATCTGGTAGTGTGATGTGGTGATTCCTATATCTGGTAGTGTGATGTGGTGATACCTATATCTGGTAGTGTGATGTGTCGATACCTATATCTGGTAGTGTGATGTGTTGCTACCTATATCTGGTAGTGTGATGTGTTGACACCTATATCTGGTAGTGTGATGTGTTGATACCAATATCTGGTAGTGTGATGTGTTGATACCTAAATCTGGTAGTGTGATGTGTTGATACCTATCTCTGGTAGTGTGATGTGTTGATACCTATATCTGGTAGTGTGATGTGTTGATACATATATCTGGTAGTGTTTCTGCTGACCTTTAACTACTGACCTCTAACTTCTTAACTAAAGACTTCAACAGGAGAATGCTGACCTGTGTACCAGTCTCAATCTTTGAGGCTCACCTCACATGTGACAGTGAACACTTCTGGAACTCACCCTTGATATTACTACTACTACTACTACTACTACTACTACTACCCCATACCTCTCCCCAAACTTACTACAATGTCGACCGAAATTTCCTGCTTTGAGTACTTGAACAGAATCACATGAGTAGCCCCGGCCACACACAACATCCGGCTCTCCTGGCACAGGTGAATCAAATAGATTGCAAAGGGGTCATCATCCTGTCCTTCTGTCTGCTTGAATTTTGGTTTTTCAAATATTTTGGCAGTTTTTAACTTGTATAACACTTGTAATGTCACTGAAACAATAAAGAAGAATTGTTTTAGCAGTTTTGACAAAAAAACATCTGTATGAAAGAATATTAAATGTGTAACTTTCTGTTGCTGTTACTAAAAATCATTTTTAATATATTTCTGCAATGTCTTGTAGCATGTCTGATTATTTTCTTTTATCTATAGAATTTTTCTATAAGCCAAGAACTCACCTGATGAAGCATCCCAAAACTTCATAGAACCATCAGCATGTCTGTAAAATAGAATTCAATAAGAGAAAGTTACATCTTTATAAAACAAAATTGTATAGATGTTGTATGTAAGTTGAATTGAAGGAATTTAGAATGTTCTACAATTCACAAATTCAAATAATTTGTACCTTGCAGAAGTTTTCCTTAATTTGATTAAGGGATTTAAAAATTCAAGCTAATGCATTGACAAGATTTTTCTATAGTAATTGTAACAGCCAAAAATCTCATACAAGCTACATTATTACTGCTGTAGGAATTACAAACAAAAAGCTCATCACAAATGTAGGTGAGGCAACCTCATCACACAATAGATGGAAGTATAGGCATCAGTTCTGACTAACTCTCTTACTGGACACTTTACCCTGTGATCAGTAATTCTAACTTACTCTGTCACTGGACACCTTACCCTGTGATCAGTAATTCTAACTTTCTCTGTCACTGGACACCTTACCCTGTGATCAGTAATTCTGACCTAGTACCCTCTCACTGGCCACCTTACCCTGTGATCAGTAATTCTGACCTACTCTCTCACTGGACATCCTACCCTGTGATCAGTAATTCTGACCTACTCTCTCACTGGACACCTTACCCTGTGATCAGTAATTCTGACCTCTCTCAATGGACACCTTACCCCGTGATCAGTAATTCTGACTTACTCTCTCACTGGACACCTTACCCTGTGATCAGTAATTCTGACTTACTCTCTCACTGGACATCCTAGGAACCCTGTGATCAGTAATTCTGACCTACTCTCTCACTGGACATCTTACCCTGTGATCAGAATTTCTGGATAACTACACGTCGTCGTTCCCCACTCGCCTCCTTTCACAGGCCAGTTCTACAAAATGTGACAGGCATTATTTTTATCATGACACAAAGCTTCTATAAACTTACTTGAGAAATATTTTTTGAAAGCAATATATTTCTCAAATAAATTACACCAGATTATTGATTAGGCAAATGGAACAAACTTAATTGTTATTTTGAAAACAAAAATTGTTCTCTAATTTCTGATCTCTGATTAAAAACATTATAGTGAATGCAATTTAAAAAAAAAAATACACCTTCAGATTTAACATTTTATCATTTAATATATATTCATTTCATCCTGTATATTTGCAATTTTGCAAGATTAAGTAACAAACATTTGAAGGTGGAGCTGCTGACCTTTTCACTGAATCCAGTGCGTTTGTGTTTGGAGCCGACAGAGTAAAATGCAGGTATGAGATCAGGGGGACAGTCAGCATAGTATTGGCAAGCCGTCACTGGTGATTCGTGCAGGTCCATAGGGTATGGGTTCTCAAAACAGGGGTACCTGTGGGGGCAAAAACTTGTAAATCAGTACAAAAAATCCAGAGGGTACCTGTGGGGCAATAACTTGTAAATCAGTACAAACAACAGGGGTACCTGTGGGGGACAGTATTATGTAAATTAGTATAGTACAACAGTGTACCTGTGGGGCAATAACTTGTAAATCAGTGGGGTACCTGTGGGGGACAGTATTATGTAAATTAGTATAGTATAACAATGTACCTGTGGGGCAATAACTTGTAAATCAGTAAAAACAACAGGGGTACCTGTGGGGGCAGTATTATGTAAATCAGTTTGGTAAAATAGAGTACTGGTCGGGGCAGTAAATTATGAATCAGTACAAACAACAGGGGTACCTGTGGGGGCAGTATTATGTGAATCAGTTTGGTAAAATAGAGTACCGGCCAGGGCAGTCAATTATGAATCAGTACAAACAACAGGGCTGCCTATAGGGGTAGTAAACAATGACAGTACCAGACGTAGGTAGCAGACAGCCAGACAAATACTTACCCAGGACTGGTGAGATCAACCACCACCAAGTCATTCTGGAGCAGCACCACTATCGCATATGGCTCCTGGAAGTCTGTAACAAAGCAATAACAATGTTACAAATGTGGAAGTTTATCAACACACCCTAGGAAGGAAGCATAACATAGTCGACTTTGTGTTGGCTTGGTACAGGCTTCCATCAATATTTGGTCAAATACAGCACCAATCACACATATTGTTGGATCACAACACCAGTCACATTCCTATGTCACATCATCAGTCACATACCAGTGTATCTGGTGACTATCCTTATACACATTGCCACCTAAAGATCTAACACCAGTCACATACCATTGTGTCTGGGGATTCCTTATACCAGTCACATACCATTGTGTCTTAGGATTCCTAATACCAGTCACATACCAATGTGTCTGGGGATTCCTTATACCAGTCACATACCATTGTGTCTTGGGATTCCTTATACCAGTCACATACCATTGTGTCTGGGGATTCCTTATACCAGTCACATACCATTGTGTCTAAGGATTCCTAATACCAGTCACATCCCAATGTGTCTGGGGATTCCTTATCCCAGTCACATCCCATTGTGTCTTGGGATTCCTTATACCAGTCACATACCATTGTGTCTGGGGATTCCTTATACCAGTCACATACCAGTGTGTCTAAGGATTACTAATACCAGTCACATACCATTGTGTATGTGGATTCCTTATACCAGTCACATACCATTGTGTCTAAAGATTCCTAATACCAGTCACATACCAATGTGTCTGGGGATTCCTTATACCAGTCACATACCAGTGTGTCTAAGGATTCCTAATAACAGTCACATACCAATGTGTCTGGGAATTCCTTATACTAGTCACATACCATTATGTCTGGGTATTCCTAATACCAGTCACATACCATTGTGTCTAAGGATTCCTTATACCAGTCACATACCATTGTGTCTTGGGATTCCTTATACCAGTCACATACCATTGTGTCTTAGGATTCCTAATACCAGTCACATACCAATGTGTCTGTGGATTCCTTATACCAGTCACATACCAATGTGTCTGGGGATTCCTTATACAAGTCACATACCATTATGTCTGGGTACTCCTAATACCAGTCACATACCATTATGTCTGGGTATTCCTAATACCAGTCACATACCATTATGTCTGGGTATTTCTAACACCAGTCACATACCATTATGTCTGGGTATTCCTAATACCAGTCACATACCATTATGTCCGGGGATTCCTAATACCAGTCACATACCATTATGTCCGGGGATTCCTAATACCAGTCACATACCATTATGTCCGGGGATTCCTAATACCAGTCACATACCATTATGTCTGGGGATTCCTAATACCAGTCACATACCATTATGCCAGGGTGTTTCACAAAGCACCACAAAGTCGACCACATTGTGTTCCATTTCCAGGACTGTGGTACTCTTGCCATTCATCACGGTTATACTGGGGGTGCGTCCTGCTCGGTCATAAGACATCCCACCTGAGAATATTACCAGCAGGTCACTACAAAATACAAAAGGAAGGAAGTTACAACAAACATGAATTTAATAATAGTGTATCATCATCTTTGCAAACTGGATAAAACAAACATCGTACATACATGTAATGTTACTCTAAGTTCCCAGCATTTCAGTCACCAGCAAAAAAAATAAAAAAAATATGTAAGAGCCATGATGCTTTGTGAATTTTATAGCAAACAAAGGATACATCAATTCATTGCTTAATTTTGCTTCATTATTAAAACATTAATGAAGAATATAAAAACCTTTGAATGTTTTAGTGAAAATGTTAATGATGTACGTATGGTACTAATTAAGAACTTTTATCTATATTGTACGTGCACAATTATTGAAACAGATGACATTAACTTACTATATTTCCACTTTTAAAATGCCTAAATAATGTGTTACTAAATCTCACTCACATGCTTTCATCCAAATGACAAAGTTTAAATGCCTTATTTTATGGTAACTTCAACCATTCCTATGGAGGTGCTCAAACTACTGATGTCAACATGAACTTTGATAGTACTGACATTGACAGTCCTCTCAGAACAAATAAATTAACAGACAGCTGGTACTCACTAATACAAGCTGACCTTCTGCGTGTCCAACACTCCACACCACATTAAGTGAGAACATGGAGTTAGATTTTGTGGTCGACCTTTAGCGATTGCTGGTCTCCAGGGTCCACTACTATAGGAGATGGGTAGCACTAGTGCAGCAATACAGACTCAATCTAATAAACCAACCACACTTTTCTTCACTGCTACACTGCTTTTTATGTCTCTCTTACATTGTAGCAAATCAAAATCTGGTCTTGTAGAAACGGATTAAAACCCAAAGTTGACGAAAAATATTGCTGACAATGAGGAAATAATGTTGACATCGTGACTGCACACGTTAAGGTAACACTAGAGGTTTGTTTTTGTAAATAATTTTGGGGATCTCAACCTTGTCAAAGTTATGATTCAGATTAAATCCCTCAGGATGGGGCCAGACCCTAGAGTCAATCCTAACATCATAACTGTGCTCACCTGTTTACATACATCAAACATAAAAAATATATATGATATTACAGGGTGAGGCCAGGCCAGGCCCAGGATCAATTCTAATTGAATGACTGTGTTTATCTCTTTATGTTGATCATTTATATATGGTAAAGAGTGGGGATCCCAACCATTTTAAAGTTATGACCCAAGAATTAATCCCTGAGTGTGCAGCCAGACACTAGGGTCAATTCTAATATCTTGATTGTTTTGATCTCTTGATGCCCAGCAATGGTATATATGGTAATTGGGTGGGGATTTCAACCATTTCAAAGTTTTGCTCAGGAATTAAGTGCCTAGGGGTCAGGTTAGACTCTTTAGCCAGACAGATTTTTGACAGACGGGTGGAGTGTATAAACTTGTAATCTCCACTTGGAACTGGTGGGGGACTAATAAATACAATTAGAAAGTTAGGATGAGGAAAGTCACAATACATTCCTTAAAAGTTTAAAAGATACCACTGAAAAGTTTGCACTTACTTGACCTTGAGATCAAGGTCTCAGCGACTTAATGATAGTGCACTGCACATACATCTGTGGGTGATGAAGATATACTGCAAGATTAATTCAGATATCTTTAACAGTTTAAAGTTACAGACCAATCAAGATTGTCCTGAAATGATTGCACTTGTTTGACCTTTGACTTTCAAGTCAAGGTCACTGTGACCATTGACAGTGCAGAACACGTAGTCTGTTGGTGATGCAAATATGCAGGTCTCTTCAAGATATCTTTGACATTATGATTATACAATTTATGGTAGAATATTAATGACACTTAATTCACAGCAAGATTCATTCAGATATCTTTTATGGTTTTAAAGTTACAGCCAAGAAAAAATGTTACTGAAAGTTGGCACTCATTTGACCTTTGACCTTTAGATCAAGGTCACACTGGCATACTGACAATGCAAGGCACATAAGCTGTGGGTGATACAGGTGTACTACAAGTTTCATTAAGAAATCTTTGACATTATGATTATACAATTTGAGGTAGAATATCAATGACACTTAGGTCATTTCACAACAATTGTAAAACAAGATCCATTATATTTATCCCTCTTGTTGGCCCCGTCTTAATATGGGAGGAAACTGGAGTGCCTGGAGAGGTCTCACATGGTCAGGCATGTGACCCCATACATTGTCATCTCTGATTTGGGTATCCAACCCCGACTACTACCTTGTTGAAACGTTAGTGTGCTTTCCACTGGGCCATCCGACCAACTATTAGTGGAGCATATTGTTGACAAGAAGACTATACAATTATTATAAACTGTCATAGAAAAGTACCTAACCTACACAGCTGAAGTACCTAACTTACACACCTGTAACACAGAAAATTACTAAACCTACAAATCTGTGACACAGAAAGTACCAAACCTACACACCTGTAACACAGAAAATTACCTAACTTACACCTGTAACACAGAAAATTACCAAACCTACAAATCGATGACACAGAAAGTACCAAACCTACACACCTGTGACACAAAAATTAGACCAACATCAATCACGTACTAAGGTGGCCTGAGCAGGAGATGTTTCAGCTACTGAAGTCCTGAGATAAAAAAAAGTCTGAAAGTGCCAAGTGTGTCGAAGTTCAGATTCAGATACTCTGCAGTATATTAACATTCTGCAGTATACTAAGGAAAAGGTTATTCTTATGACAGTAAATCCATTATAACACATTGGCCATCCTTACTGACAAACAGTGACTGAGACTGCTGTCCATACCATCTGTCTCCATTGTTTACCAATCTCATTATTTACAAGTGATTTTTGTGTTACCAAACCACACACCTCGTCAGTAATCATGTAAAACTATGCGACCTTGACAATATATGCATTTGTTTATGGTATGACCTTGACAGGGTTTGTGAGATGTGGAGATAATTGTATCCCCTGCTCCCGAGGATCAATACAAATACAATCGCTGAATATCTACAGCTGTCTGTGCCTCGTCTTCTGCGCTTAAATTAGACCCACTTTGTTTAAGGTTGACACTTATGTTTTGTCCATGATAATCCATCGTCTTTTCCTTATTGATTTCAGAAAAATAGCCCTCTAGGAATCTCAGCGTTCATGTAATGAAAATGCAAATTTATCTTGGTTTTTGCCTAGCACATGAACGAGTTATGAGGATTTCCAAAGATGTTTTGGGTGTGTTTTTTAAATACCAAATTGAGTTACAACATTTCAAGATTCCTTGCTAGAAAAATAATAGATTGTGAGAGTAGAGTCAGACCTTATGATGTTATTTTTATTTTTAATACAGTAATGATAATCTTTTTCCCCCCACATCATATTGGTCCACAAAACAACATGCAGCAAACTATGACAATATTTATTTTCAAGATCGCAGCTGAATCAATTCACACCTGATAATCTCAAAGCTCACATTATGTCTCCATTTACAAATCCTGACAGTAACTAGAACTACCAATACTGATAACCTATTCTATCACAGCAGACCTTGTACCGATTGAGCAATGAAAAGCAGCAAGAATTGTGGTTCATGGCTAACACCATCTGGGGACAAAAAGAGTGAATGAGACTTTGGTTCAAGGCTAGTAACACCTGGTGATGACAGATAGTTCAAGGCTAGTAACACCTGGCGATGACAGATAGGTCAAGGTTACTGTCACCTCCAGACAAACTAGGAAGACATCCTAAAGGTCCATGTTTACACATACATTTTTGACATATCATTGGGCAGTACTGTTCCTAAAAATAGATCACTGGACCATAACAGACTTCTGGTAAAGAAAAGTTGGCAATTCCAACTCTAGCCCATTCACTCCAATCACCTCTGTCTTTGGAGATACATACATATATATAAAGACCATCGTGGCACGATCCTAATAAAACTTCATAGCCTCTCATCACAAAGATGATTTTATGTCTAATTATGAAGGCAATCTATACCTTTCTATGTGTTATTCCCCTTTGAGGACATCAACAGAAATTCCATTAAGAAAACCTCTAATTCCACTATAAATACTTTTAGCAGATGAAGGGAATTTGTTTTATAATGATGTGTATGCATGATATTTTAGCAATTTTACAGAGAACGATACATATCCATTTTGAAGTGAGGACAAGATTTACATGTCCAATGTCATAAAAACACTATAACACCAAGTGTGCCAGCAGTGACGAATTACCAACAGCTTAGGAATGAATTCCAATTCACTGGTTTCAATTTTAAAACAAAGAACATAATACTACATATCTCCTGATGTCACACCATAAACTTTGCATGCAATTTAGAATTGTAATTATGTTCCAGTTCATTTTTCTATATGGAAAATTCTAAAGGAAAGACTGTGTCAATGAGAATGACATTGTACAAGGAACTATTTTCTAATGTACAAGCTCCAATTAAGTTTTTACACAATGGATCATTTATTAGGTCCTTGTGATACAATATTTTTTTTTTCAAAAAGAAAGATTTTTGAATGATTTTATGTATGGAAACTTTCATTTTTTTTTTTTTAAGAGACAAAACTTTAGAAGCCATATTTGGTCAGAATTGATTGCATTAGGATTTCCATGTAAGGTTCAGGTATACTTAACATAATGCGAACTGGTGGGCTCCTAGTACTTTAAAACCATGTTGTATTAAAATAAACATTGCGATATACATCAATAACGGTACATGTACAACCCACATAATGTCAATCAAACTGTGTTATGAGAGCTTCAAACCTACCCTAGACCGACAAACTACACAATTCACCCAACAAATCTTCATCAACTTTGAAACTTATGTCAGCTTTTTCTTCAAACTTAATGAGCTTCCACGATATATATTCCATTACTGCAAGCAGCTTTTAAATTGAAATTTGTGTCGTAAATTCTTGTGCATATTTTATTGATCAAATCAATACCTTTACAACCCATATAGTATATGCTATATGGAGACCCATAGATCAACACCAGGGACAGTAGTCTCCCTTTGTTTACCAGAGAAGGATTCAAAAAGAGGTTTTCAGAAAGGTGATAAGGTGGCGAGATTTTGAGTAAATTGTTCTACATTAGAGAAGACAGAGTTTATTTGTCATGTTTAAGTATAACCTCCCATACTACTCACCCATTTCTGGCAGACTTCCACTCCACTTTAGTAATAGGCTTGCATGGGTCAGGTTTTCCTTCCTTGCCAATTTTGGCTGCAATTTAGAGAAACAAAATATAAAGCTTAACTTTGTGTTGTGCTGATGGTGTTGATGGACAATAGGATTGATATTTTCGAGTCAAAAGGATGAATATTGAGTCAACATAGTCAAGGTAAAAACAAGCTTGGTTCACCAGGATCAACAATGAGAAAGTGGAATACCAGCTGAGTTAAACGTTATCACTTTGTAATCCATAAAATACTCTAAATTAACATACCTAGTCATTAGACATTGTGAAAATCTTAAAGTGATTCCGACTGAATTATAGCATAAAAGCTGTTTAAATTTTCAAGAACGAACTGCAGTGGTTATCATTTGTAATCAGCTATTCCATTATGGAATGAGACAAAAGTACTTGCTTGTGGTAATATAGGTGTGAAAAGGTTGTGAACTAGTGACAGTACTCAATCAATGACTTTCACGGCAAATTACCCAGACCTGTACATGTCCACACATTAATGCTGGTGTCTCATCACGCCTCTATCTAGCCCATCACACGGAACCTGTCTGGATGGTGCACAATGCCAGTTACGACAATCTTGGGAGTAGGACACTGCCATCAGGATAGAGATTTGTGTTATGATTGAGCGGTTGTATGTAACGTTATGACACGACAGACATGATGCTACATGAAGCTATCATCTTGTGTTGCTGGGATGACAGTATCTTGTGTAAACCATCAGCCTTACTTTTACTAGGTCGGTGGGGATGTTGAACGTCTCTCGTCAATACCAAAATGTTGTACTCTGTCTCTAAGATCCTACATCATAAAAGACTGATCATACCTTGTGTCTTTGTAATCCTTTATCATGTCTGTATATTCCTACATTGTATCTGTGTTGTGATACATTGTGATTTGTGTGATCCTGTTTCATGTCTGTGTGGTCCTACACTTACCATGGAGCATCATGTGACTGACAGACCAACACTTACCATGGAGAATCATGTGTCTGACAGACAGACACTTACCATGGGGCATCATGTGACTGACAGACTGACACTTACGATGGAGCGTCATGTGACTGACAGACTGACACTTGGGGGGGAGAGTCATGTGACTGACAGACTGACACTTGGGGGGGAGAGTCATGTGACTGACAGACCGACCCTTACCATGGAGAATCATGTGAGCGACAGACAGACACTTACCATGGGGCATCATGTGACTGACAGACAGACACTTACCATGGGGCATCATGTGACTGACAGACTGACACTTACCAGGGAGAGTCATGTGACTGACAGACTGACACTTACCATGGAGGGTCATGTGACTGACAGACCGACCCTTACCATGGAGAATCATGTGACTGACAAACAGACACTTACCATGGAGAATCATGTGCCTGACAGACCGACACTTACCATGGAGATTCATGTGACTGACAGACCGACCCTTACCATGGAGAATCATGTGAGCGACAGACAGACACTTACCATGGGGCATCATGTGACTGACAGACTGACACTTACCAGGGAGAGTCATGTGACTGACAGACCGACCCTTACCATGGAGAATCATGTGACTGACAGACCGACACTTACCATGGAGAATCATGTGACTGACAGAACGACACTTACCATGGAGAATCATGTGACCGACAGACCGACACTTACCATGGAGAATCATGTGACTGACAGACCGACACTTACCATGGAGCATCATGTGACTGACAGACTGACACTTACCATGGAACATCATGTGAGCCAGCCAGACAGCCAGCCAGCCAGACTTACCATGGGGCATCATGAGACTGAGGGGCTTATTGGCAGATTTCAAGTTGTATGTGGTGAGACTTCCATCTGTGTGACTGCACATGAACTGCTTCCCTTCGTGGTGCCAGGATATGGACCGCAGGGCCTACAAAGATACAAATACATAAGGACCTTCAAATCTTCAACTACATCAAATAAATAGTCAGGACCTACAGTTCATTATGAAATTTCAGGGGTGAATGAGTTAAGCTTTCTATATTTGTCTATCCTTACTACCTGGTCAATGACAAAAATGTTGCAAGAAATACCAACTTCTGTAAAAGACCCCATCTGATTTTAAAGACCTCCTGAACAAAGGACCCCAAATTCAAGACCACTCTGATAGTAAGGCCCCTAATGAATGGCTGAATCTGACTTTGGGTACAAAACTTGGTTTGTTTGTGTTTTACATCCTATTAACAGCTATGGTCATTTAAGGACGAGCCAGGTTTTGGTGGTGGAGGAAAACCACCGACCTGTTCGAAGCAAGCAGGCCACAACCCCCGCCAGTGGAGGAGGGCTAGTGATAGCAGAACGTCGGACGCATTAACCAGTTGGCCACTGCAGTACAAACCACCTGTAATAAAGGACCCAGGATGATATAAGGTCTAAGACCCCTTATGATTTAATGTCTTACCCCCTTAAAATGAGATTCTCATCTAAACAAATGACTTTGTGGGTGACGCAATAATATGAGACAGCAATGGAACCTTGCGGCTATTCTTCATGTCATCTGACAATTAAATGTTGAAAACAGATTAAGCTTGGGCTAGCCTACTTGAATTACGCCACATGTCTGTTGTGCTCCAGGGCAGGTGATGGGAGAAGCACTAAATCAGAAGAGTGGGCAGCCCATTTGAACAGTTTCATTTTATCTCAGTACACACCTAACCACCACAGACAAGCCAATCTCAGAATCTGTCAATATTTATAGATTTAAAGTTAGAAAGTTAATTTGTCTTAAAGCTTTTTCTGCAATCTGAACATTTCTTAGTAAACCTAACCAATATTGATTGATTTTGGCTATTGTTAATGAACCCATGCAAACGAAGCATTCTAAAGTTATTGAAGCCTTCACCATTTAATGCTGAGGGCATCGGAAACATGATCTGCTGCAGCATCCATCTTAAAACAAAAACCTTTACAGACCATGCCACTATTAATAGCTACACAATCCTTGGCCTTTCAACCTGTAGGTCCAAAATTAATGTGAGGAATTTGGTGTCCATATACGAACCTTGTTGACAATCACAGGCAACCTTATTGATTAGGAGATTTGAAAGTTCATGGAATACTTGCACAGTGTGACATGGTGCAGGGAAAATCAATTGATTGTAGTCAGTTCCTGAAGCACATCCAAAATAGGGATGCTGGTATGGAAGGGGAGCTCTATAGGAGTGGTATGGAGTTAGGAGTGAGAGCAAAACTGAGTAGGACTGATGAGGACCAAAAGTTGTCATGGAATTGAAATGATTGAGAGTAAAACTGATCTGACTATAGAATTGTGATGGATGTTGAACAGGAGTGATGGTAAGATTTGAGAAGGAGCTGTAATTAGATGAGATGGAGCTGTAATTAGATGAGAAGGAACTGTAATTAGATGAGAAGGAACTGTAATCAGATGAGAGGTAACTGTAATCAGATGAGAGGAAGCTGTAATCAGATGAGAGGGAGATGTAATTAGATGAGAGGAAGCTGTAATCAGATGAGAGGGAGATGTACTCAGATGAGAAGGAGCTGTAATTAGATGAAAGGAAGATGTAATCAGATGAAAAGCTGTAATCAGATGAGAGGGAGATGAAATCAGATGAGAGGTAACTGTAATCAGATGAGAGGGAGCTGTAATCAGATGAGAGGGATATGTACTCAGATGAGATGGAGCTGTAATCAGATGAGAGGGGGATGTTATCAGATGAAAAGAAGATGTAATCAGATGAAAAGCTGTAATCAGATGAGAGGGAGATGAAATCAGATGAGAGGTAAATGTGATCAGATGAGAGGGGGCTATAATCAGATGAGATGGAGATGTACTCAGATGAGAGGGAGGTGTAATCAGATGAGAGGGAGATATAATCAGATGAGAAGGAGATGTAATCAGATGAAAAGCTGAAATCAGATGAGAGAGAGATGAAATCAGATGAGAGGTAAATGTAATTAGATGAGAGGAAGCTGTAATCAGATGAGAGGGAGATGTACTCAGATGAGAGGGAGATGTTATCAGATCAGAGGAGGATGTAATCAGATGAAAAGCTGTAATCAGATGAGAGGGAGATGAAATCAGATGAGAGGTAACTGTAATCAGATGAGAGGGAGCTGTAATCAGATGAGATGGATATGTACTCAGATGAGAGGGAGGTGTAATCAGATGAGAAGGAGATGCAATCAAATGAGAGGGAGATGTAATCAGATGAGAGGGAGATTTAATCAGATGAGAGGTAGGTGTAATCAGATGAGCGGGAGCTGTAACCAGATGAGAGGGAGATGTAATCAGATGAGAAGGAGATGTAATCAGATGAGAAGGAGATGTAATCAGATGAGAGGGAGATGTAATCAGATGAGCAGGAGCTGTAATCAGATGAGCGGGAGATGTTTACCAGATTAGAGTTGTCTCTGAGTTGAAGAGGAGTGACTGTGAGTAGGGATCAGACTAGGAGTTGGCATAGAGCTAAATAAGAGTAATAAGAAGAGTGAATTGACCTCATCATAAGCTGAAAAGGATATGTGAAGTTCTGTTTTCTTTTACATATTATAGCTATTAATTGTAGATGTAAGACTGATTTATGAAAATTATGTTAAAATATTATTTTCAACTCAACATAAGCCAAAGAAATTTGATAGAAACAAAGGACAAATGTCAGAACAGCTGATATTTTCAAATGCAAACAACAGTTAGTGTTGATTTCAGGTTCTTCATATGATAGATATTTTGAATGAAACAGTTTTTTTTCAAATATATACTTTGGGGGAAGAAGACGGTCAGGGAATACAGATATTCTGGCAGCTTTGGTATGAAGGTTTGAACATAAAGACCTTAAAAAGCTACCCGAAATTCAATTCATAGACAAGAATGCACTTTAGACGAATGTGTTAGAGAGTAAATTAAAAGGCACTGTTGTGAAATGGTAATCACCAATAAGCCCATTACATAACCTTAACCAACATAAGTTTATAACTCTAATTGAATCAAAACAGTAACATGGAATTCATCCTATAACTCCACCAACTAACCCTGTAACGAGCACCCACTTTACTTTTAGTCTTTGTATACAGCAAGCCACACATTCAATTATGTTGGCTAAATGTGGAACTTGTATTTTGAACCCAATCCAGTGATCATTTCTTGCAGTTGCCTCAGTTTCTCAGATTTATGTATTTCTGAATTATATCAATTATTGGTCTAGTTCAATGTTAAGACATCCATAAAAAACTTATTATGGCCCTAGTTATGTCTTGATTGATTTGTTAATCAACATGGCTATATATGAAAGGATTTTTGTGTTGTGTTTTACTGTGTGGTAGAGACATGTCAGTGCTGTCGTGGTGATAATGTATCTGACACTGTAGTTGATTGGTTTGTTAATGCTCCAGACTCGCTTGGCTACCTCAGTCACAGCCTCTAAAGCGCTGGACGTCAGTGTTAGCGTGGGGCAACCAACCCTGTAATGGTTCAGATTTACACAGTGATGTGTGGCTAATGTGTCTACTGGACAGTCTACAATGATCATATTCCAGCTCACACCCTTTCAGAGTGTCCTCCACTCCATAATAAGTCTCCAGCCACAATGATCAGGTCCCAGCTCACACCCTGTCAGAATGTCCTCCACTCCATAATCAGTCTCCAGCAACAATGATCAGGTCCCAGCTCACACCCTGTCAGAATATCCTCTACTCCATAATCAGTCACCAGCAACAATGATCAGGTCCCAGCTCACACCCTGTCAGAATGTCCTCTACTCCATAATCAGTCACCAGCCACAATGATCAGGTCCCAGCTCACACCCTGTCAGAATGTCCTCTACTCCATAATCAGTCTCCAGCCACAATGATCAGGTCCCAGCTCACACCCTGTCAGAATATCCTCTACTCCATAATCAGTCTCCAGCCACAATGATCAGGTCCCAGCTCACACCCTGTCAGAATGTCCACTACTCCATAATCAGTCTCCAGCCACAATGATCAGGTCCCAGCTCACACCCTGTCAGAATATCCTCTACTCCATAATCAGTCTCCAGCCACAATGATCAGGTCCCAGCTCACACCCTGTCAGAATATCCTCTACTCCATAATCAGTCTCCAGCCACAATGATCAGGTCCCAGCTCACACCCTGTCAGAATATCCTCTACTCCATAATCAGTCTCCAGCCACAATGATCAGGTCCCAGCTCACACCCTGTCAGAATATCCTCTACTCCATAATCAGTCTCCAGCCACAATGATCAGGTCCCAGCTCACACCCTGTCAGAATATCCTCTACTCCATAATCAGTCTCCAGCCACAATGATCAGGTCCCAGCTCACACCCTGTCAGAATATCCTCTACTCCATAATCAGTCTCCAGCCACAATGATCAGGTCCCAGCTCACACCCTGTCAGAATATCCTCTACTCCATAATCAGTCTCCAGCCACAATGATCAGGTCCCAGCTCACACCATGTCAGAATGTTCTCTACTCCATAATCAGTTTCCAGCAACAATGATCAGGTCCCAGCTCACCCCCTGTCAGAATGTTCTCTACTCCATAATCAGTTTCCAGCAACAATGCTCAGGTCCCAGCTCACACCCTGTCAGAATGTTCTCTACTCCATAATCAGTTTCCAGCAACAATGATCAGGTCCCAGCTCACACCCTGTCAGAATGTCCTCTACTCCATAATCAGTCCCCAGCCATAATGATCAGGCCCCAGCTCACACCCTGTCAGAATGTCCTCCACTCCATAATCAGTCTCCAGCAACAATGCTCAGGTCCCAGCCCACACCCAGTCAGAATGTCCTCTACTCCATAATCAGTCACCAGCAACAATGATCAGGTCCCAGCCCACACCCTGTCAGAATGTCCTTCACTCCACAATCAGTCACCAGCAACAATGATCAGGTCCCAGCTCACACCCTGTCAGAAAGGCCTCTACTCCATAATCAGTCACCAGCCACAATGATCAGGTCCCAGCTCACACCCTGTCAGAACGTCCTCCACTCCACAATCAGTCTCATACCATACCAGGTTATCATGTATTCTTCATGTCCAGCAATGTTGTAAATTGTTATGGCATGGGGATCTCAAATGTCTCTATGTTATGACCCAGGGAGGATGTTTCCAGGGGTTGGTCTGGACCTCCAGGCCAATCCTGGTAGCATGAATGTTTTCTTCTCTTCATGCCTTACAATTGTATATTTGGTTATAGGTTGGGGGAAAATCCCTTAATTCATATTGAAGGTGAAGGATTTTATTGATTTACCTCCATTTCACCTATTGGCCACACCCCTCTGCCCCCCTTTTTATGTAGGGGGGCGGGGGAAGCACATCCTTCATTTTATAAAATTTAGTTGTCTTTGCCTGCAGGTTATATTGACAAGAAATGGTTAAAATCTCTCCATTTGCATCAAAGGAGTAAGGTTTTAATAGTTTCCTTTATTTGCAATATTGGGCCCCACCCCTCTGCCACACCCTACATTTATACAAATTTAGTTCTCTTTGAATACAGGTGATCTGTAACAAATTTGGTGATAATCCCTCCATTCACAGAAGGGGAAAGCTTTTAAAAAGATTTTCCTGTATTTTCCCTATTGGGCCCTGCTCCTCCCCCCTGGTGAGCCACATCATCCATTTATACAAAATCACCTTTGCCCAAAGATGCTCTAGAACATGTTTGGTTCAAATTCCTTCATTGGTACAAAAGGAGAAGTTCTATTTTTCCCCCTTTATTTCACTTTTTGGGCCTCACCCCTCAGTTTGTACAAAATAACGTCTTTTTAACTGAATGATATGCAGACCACATTCGGTTTAAACAGGTTTCTAGAACAAATTTGGTCAAAATGGCCATTGGTTGAGAAGGGGAAGCTTTTTGAAGCTTTGCCAATTTTCCCCCTATTTGGCCCCACCTTTGTCCCCCAAAGGAGCCATACCCTCTGTTTATACAAATTTGAGAACCCTATGACCAATGATGCTTGATCTACTTTCACCCACAAACCCAAACACATATACCATCACGAGGGATACTTACCTCAGGGGAGGTGTAGCGACATTCAGCACTTTTAGTTTTGAGATCCCACAACACAATAGCACCAGTCTCAAATCCAATCAGAAGCTGCAACAGTGAATGGAAACATGTTGTTAGTGGTAATCACAGTCTATCACAGTTATGTTAACATTATCATGGTTATGTAATTAGGTTAGCAGGTTTACAAAACCATATTGACAGTATTTGGTCTATGTTGACAGTTATAGTGGTCTATGTTGACAGTTATAGTGGTCTATGTTGACAGTAACAGTGGTCTATGTAGACAATACCAGTGGTCTATGTTGACAGTTATAGTGGTCTATGGTGACAGTTATAGTGGTATATGTTGACAGTTAAAGTGATCTATGTTGACAGTTATAGTGATCTATGTTGACAGTTATAGTGGTCTATATTTACAGTAACAGTGGTCTATGTTGACAGTTATAGTGATCTATGTTGGCAGTTATAGTGGTCTATGTTGACAGTTATAGTGGTCTATGTTGACAGTTATAGTGATCTATGTTGACAGTAGCAGTGGTCTATGTAGACAGTTATAGTGATCCATGTTGAAAGGTTTAGTGGTCTATGTTGACAGTTATAGTGGTCTATATTTACAGTAACAGTGGTCTATGTTGACAGTAACAGTGGTCGATGTTGACAGTAACAGTGGTCTATGAAGACAGTTATAGTGATCTGTTGACAGTTATAGTGGTCTATGTTGACAGTAACAGTGGTCTATGTAGACAGTTATAGTGATCTATGTTGAAAGGTTTAGTGGTCTATGTTGACAGTTATAGTGGTCTATATTGACAGTAACAGGGGTCTATGTTGACAGTAACAGTGGTCTATGTAGAGAGTTATAGTGATCTATGTTGATAGTTATAGTGGTCTATGTTGACAGTTATAGTGGTCTATGTTGCCAGTAACAGTGATCTATGTAGACAATACCAGTGATCTATGCTGACAATAACAGTGGTCTATGTTGACAGTTATAGTGGTCTATGTTGACAGTAACAGTCGTCTATGTAGACAGTTATAGTGATCTATGTTGACAGTTACAGTGGTCTTTTTAGACAATACCAGTGGTCTAATTTGACAGTTCAATGGTTTATGATCCCATTGATAGTGTATATCGATAGTTAAGTAAGCATCATCATTGTCTATGTTGACAATGGCTGTCTTCCTTTGGTAATGTATACTTTACAAAAATTCCATCACGTCTAGGACCTGTTTAGAGATAGAGCCTCATCAGAGTAACAGTGGTCTATGTAGACAGTTATAGTGACCTATGTTGATAGTTATAGTGGTCTATGTTGACAGTTATAGTGGTCTATATTGACAGTAACAGGGGTCTATGTTGACAGTAACAGTGGTCTATGTAGACGGTTATAGTGATCTATGTTGATAGTTATAGTGGTCTATGTTGACAGTTATAGTGGTCTATATTGACAGTAACAGGGGTCTATGTTGACAGTAACAGTGGTCTATGTAGACGGTTATAGTGATCTATGTTGATAGTTATAGTGGTCTATGTTGACAGTTATAGTGGTCTATATTGACAGTAACAGTGGTCTATGTTGACAGTAACAGTGGTTATGTAGACAGTTATAGTGATCTATGTTGAAAGGTTTAGTGGTCTATGTTGACAGTTATAGTGGTCTATGTAGACAGTTATAGTGGTCTATGTTGATAGTTATAGTGGTCTATGTTGACAGTTATAGTGGTCTATGTTGCCAGTAACAGTGATCTATGTAGACAATACCAGTGATCTATGCTGACAGTAACAGTGGTCTATGTTGACAGTTATAGTGATCTATGTTGTCAGTTATAGTGGTCTATGTTGACTGTAACAGTGGACTATGTAGACAATAACAGTGGTCTATGCTGACAGTAACAGTGGTCTAAGTTGACAGTTATAGTGGTCTATGTTGACTGTAACAGTGGACTATGTAGACAATAACAGTGGTCTATGCTGACAGTAACAGTGGTCTAAGTTGACAGTTATAGTGGTCTATGTTGACTGTAACAGTGGTCTATATAGACAATACCAGTGATCTATGCTGACAATAACAGTGGTCTATGTTGACAGTTATAGTGGTCTATGTTGCCAGTAACAGTGATCTATGTAGACAATACCAGTGATCTATGCTGACAGTAACAGTGGTCTATGTAGACAGTTAAAGTGATCTATGTTGACAGTTATAGTGGTCTATGTTGACATTTATAGTGGTCTATGTTGACAGTTATAGTGGTCTATATTGACAGTAACAGGGGTCTATGTTGACAGTAACAGTGGTCTATGTAGACTGTTATAGTGATCTATGTTGATAGTTATAGTGGTCTATGTTGACAGTTATAGTGGTCTATATTGACAGTAACAGTGGTCTATTTTGACAGTAACAGTGGTCTATGTAGACAGTTATAGTGTTCTATGTTGATAGTTATAGTGGTCTATGTTGACAGTTATAGTGGTCTATATTGACAGTAACAGGGGTCTATGTTGACAGTAACAGTGGTCTATGTAGAGAGTTATAGTGATCTATGTTGATAGTTATAGTGGTCTATGTTGACAGTTATAGTGGTCTATGTTGACTGTAACAGTGGTCTATGTAGACAATACCAGTGGTCTATGTTGACAGTTATAGTGGTCTATGTTGACAGTTACAGTGGTCTTTTTAGACAATACCAGTGGTCTAATTTGACAGTTCAATGGTTTATGATGCCATTGATAGTGTATATCGATAGTTAAGTAAGCATCATCATTGTCTATGTTGACAATGGCTGTCTTCCTTTGGTAATGTATACTTTACAAAAATTCCATCACGTCTAGGACCTGTTTAGAGATAGAGCCTCATCAGCCTTTTCCCTTACAATTAATTGTCTCCATTTACACAGAATTTGATAAGCTAGTTTCTATATTGAGTTTCCTCCCTATTGTGTTGCAGCAACCAGATCTACTTGGCTGCAAATGTCATTTTGCTGTCAATAATGTGCAAACCAACACTGGATGTAAGAGGGCAAAAGGTCAATTTCCCACTGTAAGGGAAGCACTGCCATTTAGAATTTCCTCAATTCCTTCCAGTTATATTTTGGTCTAATATATCTTTCATTACATTATTGTCTCAACTTACCTGCTAATTTTACAACCCCTGGCAAATGCTTTGCAAAATTCTATTGCTAGAAATGTTCATCAGAAGCCTTTTTAAGCAGGAAGTTTGTGGAGTCAGAAGACAGTTGAAAGTAGGGCATCAGACTGAGATGTCTGAGAGATGAGGAGTCAAAGAATGAGCACCATTCATAGAAATGATAATCTGGTATGGAGGTCAGAAATAAAGATCAGGGATGATAATCAGGTATGGGTACCATCTGCTCAGATACAAGCTCTCTGTATCCGACTCTGGTACAATCAGCTCAGAAACAAGCTCTATCGGACTCTGGTACAATCAGCTCAGAAACAAGCTCCAACTGACTGGTACAATCAGCTCAGAAACAAGCTCTATCTGACTCTGGTACCATCAGCTCAGAAACAAGCTCCAACTGACTGGTACAATCAGCTCAGAAACAAGCTCTATCTGACTCTGGTACAATCAGCTCAGAAACAAGCTGTATCTGACTCTGGTACAATCAGCTCAGAAACAAGCTCTATCTGACTCTGGTACCATCTGCTCAGAAACAAGCTCCAACTGACTGGTACCATCTGCTCAGAAACAAGCTCTATCTGACTCTGGTACAATCAGCTCAGAAACAAGCTCTATCTGACTCCGGTACCATCAGCTCAGAAACAAGCTCTATCTGACTTTGGTACCATCAGCTCAGAAACAAGCTCTATCTGACTCTGGTACCATCTGCTCAGAAACAAGCTCTATCTGACTCTGGTACCATCAGCTCAGAAACAAGCTCTATCTGACTTTGGTACCATCAGCTCAGAATCAAGTTATTGGCATTCCTTTGGTACCATCAGTTCAGATTCTAATACCAACATCCAGTATTCAGAAACCATTATACACATCTGAATTAAGATACCATCTTTTTGGTACAGAACAAATTTATAGAGATGTTATTGAAAAGATTCTACATAGCAAACCATGCCACAACATAACTAACCAAACTGACAGGTGTCCTGCCAACTAAGATTCCTAGATTAACAAGACAAATGTCAATTTTAAGTCACAGATCCCCTCCGATGTTTCTTGGGACAGAGATATCTATTACAGGATATGGATCTGGAGCAGCACAAAACTGTTCCTACATGCTCAAATAGACATCAACACAATCAACTTATTGGGCTTGCCTAAACTGTAGCAGACTTTTGGTGGGTAAAAGATTGTGTCGTTTTCAAGTGGTCTATGATCCATATCTACAGTAACTGCCAGTTGGTACAAGTCTATAATTTAGGCTAGAATATGGAAAATCTGCACTGCAAAAGTGACAATGGTCAGTATCAGTACCTTAAAGACCATTATTCTGCAGCACTAGCGATATACACATACCTAATAGACTGATGTCATGCAGTGTTGAAGATGTGGGTGTATCTAATACACCACTGTCCTGTAGCACTAGCAATGTGAAGGTAAGTATATAATACACCACTGGCCTGTAGCACTAGTAATGTAGGGGTAAGTATCTAATACACCACTGTCCTGTAGCACTAGTAATGTAGGGGTAAGAATCTAATACACCACTGGCCTGTAGCATTAGTAATGTAGAGGTAAGTATCTAATACACCACTGTCCTGTAGCACTACTAATGTAGGGGTAAGTATCTAATACACCACTGTCCTGTAGCATTAGTAATGTAGGGGTAAGTATCTAATACACCACTGTCCTGTAGCACTAGTAATGTAAAGGTAAGTATCTTATAACCTTCATATTGTTGTTTAATACAGCAATGTTCTGTAGCACTACTAATGTAGGGGTAAGTATCTAATACACCACTGTCCTGTAGCACTAGTAATGTAAAGGTAAGTATCTTATAACCTTCATATTGTTGTTTAATACAGCAATGTTCTGTAGAACTTCTTATGAAGAAGTAAATACCTTGTGTACCTTGGTGTGCAGCACAAGCAGCACTGATACCTTATATGCCAT